TTGATTGGACAAAATGTGAATAAAACAAAAACGTATATTCTGAGTACCACGACACATATCACATATGGACCTTATTTTAAATGTAAATGTGAGACAGTGAACGTTAAAGGTCAGGGGTGTCCAAACTGCGGCCCGGGGGCCAAATGCGGCCCGCAGGTCATTTTGAATCGGCCCTCAGCCAATTCTGAAAGTGTAATGAAATATGGCCAACAAATGAAACTTGTGCTTGTCTTGTATTGTACTTCTTAAATATATATGTAAACATATATTACACATTATTCATGTGTTAATAAGCCAACTTTTAAAATCAATTCAGTCAATACATTTGAAAACATTTTCTGACAAATCTAACTTGATAAGAAAAAAGCCCAATAACTTGTTTAAAAAGCGTGAAATATACCCTTTACATTTCCCCCTGATAAGCAATCTGAGGATCCTGTTTTAAGGAATGAGCTGCCAAAAAAATAAATGAAACCCTGTGGAGAGCTGGGATCTAGGTTGTTTTTTCTTAAAGCATATTCAAGAAACAAGCATAATTCACCTACACTTGATTGATTTTGCTGACTTATAATTTAACTTATGAGGCAATACACCTCACCTCTGTTGAGCGGCCCAGCCCTTGCTATATTTTTTCTTTATCTGGCCCTCGGTGAAAACAGTGTGGACAGACACCCCTGTTAAAGTGGAATATTCTTATTCGGCCCGTCTTTAATTGGTCTTTAGCTCCACCTTGTGGATTTTCTATGTCAACGCGGCAAAACTCCTATTTTCAAAAGAAGATGACGTCATTTAAACTCAATCCGGGAATGACGAAAATTGCTGATATATGCTGATAAATGCTAATAAATATGTATCAGTTATAATGATTTAGAGACTTTGGCAGGGGAAAGTGCCAGAATCATTCACGTGAGCTATCTGAGGACAGGTATTTTGAAAACAAATACCTTTGCGTTTCTTTCAAACATGTTCCCTGACTTCATTACGATCGACATGTCCAGTATGTGTTACTGGCTTTTAAACAATGTAGTTTATACATTCTGTTGCAGTGGTTTAGCCTAATAGTTACTGAATTTGCTGTCTCCACTCTGTAGAGCGAGTGTTGAAGTGTACGGGACCCACATTATGAACAACCACATGCCTAGTGCTTTGCCTTTAATAATACTGTACTCCGAATCTGACATACAAAATAAAATACATTACTAAGGCTCTGATTGCGATTGTTTTTCCTCCAGAGAAGTGTATTTCACTGCAGTTTGTAATGGTCTGACTGGTGTTGTTAAAGAGCAGCTCAGAAAGCATGCTTGTCTCTAGGCTAGAAGTTTACAGAAAAAAAGATGGCCCGACTTTCTTCTGGTAGGTTTTAAATGCCCTAAATGGAATACCTTTCGTTTATTGTAAGCAATACAGTATGCATTTTTGGTTTACAGAAAAAACTGCTTTGTATAGTCATGTTTTCCAGTTGTCCACTGATAAAAGTATTATACTCTGATTCAAAAATAACAACAATAAATAAATGGATTGTTATGATGGGCGAGGCTGCTGACAATAAAACAAGTCCTGGTTATCTTGTTTAATTGATCAGGGACATACTCAATAGTCAAGAGGAAAATACACGATCATGTGTATAAAGTCAACCTCTACAAAGAACGGTAACATATCATACACACACTGTTCAATAGATGGGTACTGCACCAATAAATAAAGCAAAAACGATGAATAAGATGAAATAACTTTAACGCTTAAGATGATAGCTGCCCGGTTACTGAAGCAGACAACATTACTGTATAATAATGTTAGTGTTCTCTTTATTATTTATGCCACAGTAGTTTATACCGATCGATATCCAGTAGATGGCGCACTAAGACCAGAGATAAAAATACCAAATCACTACAGACAATAAAAAATGGCCTCTGACGGGGACAAAGTTAAAACTGCTGATAATTAATTGAACACTCCTGATAGGTGCTTCGGGATATGTCAATTAATTAGCTTTTAATGTGTTTTCCCCCGGTTTTCATAAATTGATCCAGCCTGCCGTGTAGACTAATTGTCACATCCAGCAGTAACACATCTCATCATTTTACTCTCACCAAAACACATGAGCTTAATTTAATGCTCATAAATGCACTGTTTATTGTGTAGCCTATATTTAGTCACATTGGATATGTTTTCAGTGTTCTACCTTTGAGCGTGATGATTTCTCAAATGAGCCTGAGGAAGGATTGACAAGAGAGTACTCTTTTGTTACAGACGTGCACAACAGCTAATACTTTCCTTGATAGCTAACATATTTGATACTATGACCTCAACACTCAAAAATATTTTTTGTTGGACTATTCATCTTATTATGTGAATTGGTTCACAATAGATGAGCTACACTTATGAACCCATTGCTATATTGCGTATGTGTTTATCTGCACAGTGTATACGCAAATCCAGAACTGAAACTGTGATTCAAATGGCCTTTGTATTGTTCAACACCATGTTGAGATGCACTGAGATTACAACAGGCGGGTTTATTTCAACACATTACACTACCGAACAGTACTCAGTAGATGGCGCCACAGCATTGCAAACAAAATGCAATTATTTTGTTGGCTTGTGGACATTGTATGGGTCAATAAAACCTAGCATTTACCTGCTGAAATCCCTGAAAGTTTACTTGTTTACTTCAAACGCGCAAAATAGTTAATTGATTTCCTACCATTTGTGGTAGGAAACTTTGCCACTCTTGATCCCACGGCCACCGTTCCATCCTGTGACCCTCCCTGCAGAGTGCAGAGTATCGGGTCACGGTCGAGCGGCAGTTCAGAGAAAGTAATGACTGTCTTTCTGTCTGACAAAGGGGTGAGCGAGGCGATAGGGGCGGATGAGACCAGCTTAATGCTCCGTGTAATGCATGTTAATGTAACAGGCACCGAGGGACCGCCGGCCGGAGTGCTTTGGGATTATTTATCACAAAACATTTGTATTCTTCCGTCGGAGAACGGTTGATCCCGGATAGCTGCACACTAATCCTTCACTCCGTTAATTAAAAAGAAGAGGAAAGCAATGGAACTGGTGGTGGTGATTTTTTCTTCTCCAGAAATGTAATCATTTCTGGAGAAGCTTAACCATCTGCTTGAGGTTAAGTCTGCAAGCAGATTGTGTTTTCTGCTTATTTAAACCTGAGGATTTTAGTTTTTTTTCCTGGTGAGGGGAGGGTGTTGCTTTTCGGGGGCTGCATGTTAGAGAGACAGGTCGCTGACACTCTTCATGACCAGGGAAAAGTAGGCTACAAGAGTACTTATGATGTAACATCGTGTTCCATAATGAGCACTTTTATCATTTGGACATTCCAGTTGTTGGCAAAAATAGATCGTAACCTTTTATCTTCAGACAATTTAAATTGCAGACTGAACATAATATATAGGCCTACATAAGCTACATCCCACACCCATTTCCTGATTGCTCAAGTTATTTTTCTCAGTTAGCTTGAAAGAGAAATCACTAAGAAACAATCACTTAAAGTTGAGGTATCCCCACTATCCCCGTTTGATTTTCTTGAGGGAAAAGCTCACAACAACATAATACATCAACGGAGCTTTGTTTCCTTGATAATTCTCACAGAGGCGCCGCGCAACCATCAACACCATTTTCGACAGAGAAAGCGCATTCCTCAGGTTTCGAGGGCAATTTGCCAGAAAATGGAGCATAGAGTGTAAAAAGGAAATGCTGCCCCTAGCAAGTAGGAATGTTTGTGTCTTGTTCTTTTTCTATAATTTCCCTCTCGCTTTTTTCTTCTTTTTAAGTAGCTAACTGCCCGGGGGCCAAAGCTGTGTCGTCAGTCCCAAGAAGAGACTTTCAGATCTTAAGCCACCGTTTTACATTAGGATGCTACTCGTGTCTGTCTCGAGACGAACCGGAATCCACAAAGGCATCCTTTAGTTTCTCTCTCTTCCCCTCTCTCTGGGGTTCAGTGGTTGTCTAACTGACCGGGATTAACAGAGAAAAGATCTGAACAAACATGTGCCTCACTCTAAAGAGGCCCGCGCTGTCCTCTTTGTCCTGTAACAACTACAGTGCTCAAAGTATATGATCTACTGTAGTCACTTATATATTTTAGTCCTCGAAAACATCCCTTAGCATCATGCTGGCCCTTTTCATCTACAACTGTAAACACATCACCTAAGGGATATTTACTAATCCCAACAATAATACCTGATTATAGACAAGTTAGATTAAGGCTTTGTGTCATTGCTTTTATGTTGATTATGTTGATACATGTTCAGGCCTACTTAGGTGAATTAAAGTCGTGTATCATCAGCCCGTGATTGTCACTCTAATCATTTTAAGCTGTAAATGTATACTTGTTTAAATATTGATTAAAATGGAATATCCTGACTCATCAAAGATTCTTTTTGTGAAACCCAATTTTGTGTGTGATGATTAATGAATGGGACTGTTTTTGCATGTGGGCATTCATCTTCAAAGGGCTCTCATTAAACAGCATTATACAATCCCAGGAGGCCAATGGCAGTGGCCACTGGCCCACTTGAGGAAAAGGGAATGAGAACTTGGGCTAGTGTGTTTCTTGTGTTTTGCACTGCAACACATAATAGTAAAACCCTGGAAGAAAACTTTACGTTTCTTAAGCTATAATGATGGGTTCAACACATCAAAGAAAATGTCTTCCACTGCCATCCCGGGCCTGTAGGGCAATGTGGTGACCAAGACAAATCCTTGTCCATCCTCATTAAATACAGCCTAGAAAACGACACCCACAACACAATTTGTCCCCTAATCCAAATCTGGCTCTGGCGTCTGGTGTCAAATGTACGCCTTCTCGTCTCTTTAATGGGTCAGAGGAACAGACGCGAGGATGTGAAAGGGTTAAACGTCTACAGTAATTAGAGTCGCATTTCGCGTTGGCGTCCTCCAATACGGAGCCTCGAGAAGCTACGTCCACCCCCACTATTTCTCTCTCTCTCTCTCTCTCCCTCACAACATACACACACGCCTCCCACCAGCTCCTCCAAGTGTCTAATACACTGGAAAATCAAAGCGCGAGCCTCCCCTGTTCACACACCACCAGTGTTGCGCGTGGAGCACAACAGAGAGCGAGAGAGAGGGGTGATTTTACTCTCTTCTCCTCTCCCCTCAGTTTAACTATTCTGTAAACTTATCTGAGCACATACATGTGACAACCTTAGATCTGATTTTTTTAATATGGGACAGGTTTTGCTTTTGTATTTACTTTGTAGCTGTAAAGTATGATGGTTTTATGAGGCAAAATATGTCTAGGTGAGGAGATTTTACGCACGCCGCTGAAATGGATCACAGACTCTCCAGAGGCAGCTGGGTACCGGTGACTGGGCTGGTTGTATGTCTGCTTCTGTGTGCGTGTGTAGTGGACCTGGTTCTTGCCCAAATTCGGTACTCCATTCCTGAAGAGCTGGAGCATGGAGCTTTTGTGGGCAACATCGCCGAAGATCTGGGCTTGGATGTGGCCAAGCTGTCAGCACGTCGATTTCGTATAGTCTCGGGCGCAAAGAGGCAGTATTTAGAAGTAAACTTGGAGAATGGCATTCTCTTCGTCAACGAAAAGATAGACAGAGAGGATCTGTGTGAACGAAGTCCGAACTGTTTTTTACACTTACAAGTGGTCATTGAAAACCCCTTAGAACTGTACAGAGTGGAAGTGGAGATTTTAGATGTTAATGACAACTCCCCCAGTTTCCCATGGAGCGAGTTTAATATTGACATCACAGAGTCGGCTGCTCCCGGCTCATGTTTCCCGTTAGAGAGCGCACAGGATCAGGACGTGGGCACCAACTCTCTGCGCTCTTACCAGCTAAGCGCAAACGAGCACTTTGTACTAAACATCCAGACGCGCAACGATGGAAGCAAGTTTGCTGAGCTCGTGCTGGACACCCCGCTTGACCGGGAAAAGCAAAAAAAGCACGAAATGGTTCTCACTGCCTTTGACGGGGGCTCTCCGGAAAGATCTGGGACAGCAGTGATAACTATTACAGTGTTAGACGCAAACGATAACGTGCCCGTATTTGACCGCTCAGTTTACCGGTCGAGCCTGGTGGAGAACGCACCGCGAGGGACGCTCGTGCTGAAGCTGAACGCCACAGACCTGGATGAAGGATCTAATGGGGAAGTGACCTACGCATTTAGCGGGCACGCACCCCTCAAGGTGCGGGAACTATTCAGCGTGGACCCGTACACGGGAGAAATCCGAGTGAAGGGCATCGTGGACTATGAGAAAGCCAGTGTTTTTGAACTGTATGTGCAGGCTAAAGACAGAGGACCCTCGGCTGTGGCTGTACACTGTAAAGTGCTGGTAGACATCCTTGATGTCAATGACAACGCACCCGAAGTCATCCTCACATCAGTGTCCACGCCTGTGCAGGAAGACGCACCACCGGGCACGGTGATAGCCGTAATCAGTGTAATGGACCGGGACTCGGGAGAGAACGGAAACGTTGACTGCCAAATCCCGAGCAACGTCCCCTTTCAGCTCCATTCCTCCTTTAAAAACTATTACACTCTGGTGACAAGCGAGTTTCTGGACAGGGAAGCGGTGTCTGAGTACAATATTACCCTCACAGCCCGAGACTTGGGCTCTCCTTCACTCTCCACGAGGAAAACCATCCTCGTTCAAGTATCTGACATTAATGACAACCCCCCGCGGTTCTCTCAGCCTTCATATACTGTTTATGTGACCGAGAATAATGCCCCGGGCGCTTCCATTTGCTCTGTAACTGCATTCGACCCCGATTCTAACCAGAACGCCTATCTGTCTTACTCTATTCTCGAGGGTCAGATCCAGGGCATGCCCGTGTCCACTTATGTCTCAATCAACTCTGACAACGGCAATATATATGCACTGCGTTCCTTTGATTATGAGCAACTTAGAAACTTTCAGATCTTGGTACAGGCGCAGGACGCTGGATTCCCCCCTCTCGCCAATAACATCACAGTCAACGTCTTTGTTTTGGACCAGAATGACAATGCACCTGTTATTGTATCCCCTCTGCCCAAAAACGGCACCGTGGCCACAGAGGTGGTTCCGCGGTCAGTAGACGCTGGGTATCTGGTTACCAAAATAACAGCGTTAGACGCGGACGCAGGACAAAACTCCCGTCTGTCCTATCAGGTGTTGCAGGCTACAGACCCGGGGCTGTTCAGTGTGGCTCTGTACACAGGCGAAATCAGGACTATTCGCCGGCTGGTGGAGAAAGACGCAACAAGGCAAAGACTGGTAATACTAGTCAAGGACAACGGACAGCCGCCTCTCTCTGCCACTGTCTCCATTATCCTTACAGTGGTAGACAGTGTTCCCGAGTCGCTGTCAGATTTCGGAGACCTCACACTCAGCCCACAGCCCCCCTCAAACCTCGCTCTCTACTTGATCGTGTCACTGAGCACAATATCTTTAATATTCCTTGTGGCTATTATCGTGCTGGCTGCAGCCAAGTGTTACAAGGACAGAGACACACTCAGCGGGTACAACCTCCCTCCGCTCGCATGCTGCTGTTGCGGGGGGTTTCAGCCCGATCCACCCCCGGAGGTTTTCAAAAAATCCAACCTCAACCTGCAGATTTCCTCCGCGGCCAAAGTCCCCACAAACTGTATGGAGGTGAATGGAAACAGCAGTCTCTCGCAGTCATATTGTTATAAAGTGTGCCTGACCCCCGAATCAGCCAAAAGTGACTTTATGTTTCTGAAGCCGTGCAGCCCCGGGAGCACGCCGAGAAACAACGAGGCGAAGAGCGCAGAAAACTCGTGGAACGCGCAAAGCCGGAGCGCATCTGTGAACAACGGAGCAACGACTCCCAATGAGGTACAGTGAAATCATCGTACAGTGTCAAACAAACCCATCTCTCTTTTCTATCTGATAAGTATATTGTCTGTGACATTCTTCCACGAAGGTCAAATCATGCCATACAGATTTAAACTCCACTTGAGCAAAAGACTGAGCAAAGGTTTTTTTTCGTGGAAATAATTGATCATTAGTGTGCATTGTAATGTGTTGCTCCCGGGAAATGAAATAAGAAAACGTGAGATTACATTTTAATTGACATGGTAATGAAAGTGTAAAGTCCTATCTTGTAAGGAGCATATTCTGTTTTAGCATCTGGAAAGAATGAAGTGAGATATCAATTACTGAGAGGAAGAGAAGATGTAGTTCAAATTGACTCCTACTCGGTCTTGGTGATAGAAAGATAAAGTGGAAAAAGCTTATTTAAAAAAAAATAAAATCATGAACGTATTACATCGTTTTGGAAACCTTGGAGATTACGATATCACCCAGTGTCATGAATTACTATTCATGCAGTGAGGAGACACACCTGCTTTCAGCACATCTAGATAGAACAAAAGTCAAGGTTATATTTGAGGTGAATGACATTTATTTGAATTCATTTGCCTTGGATTCTTTTCGACCTGTCTGTGGGACGCCTTTATGTCCTCAAACTAACAATATAGGACAGATAACCTTACTAACTATGCCTCAAGGGCACAAGCAAGGCTGAACCATTATACTACACAATGTGGCCTATTCGCAAGGGGGGGGGGAGGGCTGTCCATTATTGATGAAAAATGGCAAATGGACGGTTTTTGGGAGACAGGGTAGGACATCGAGAGGGGAGGGGGCAAGGACATGGCTGGACTGAGACGTGGGCCGCCTGTAGATCGGTCCCGACGTTATTCTCTGAATGCGATGAGAGAGTAGAGAGAGAGAGAGAGAGAGAGAGAGAGAGAGAGAGAGAGAGAGAGAGAGAGAGAGAGAGAGAGATAGGAGAGAGAAGAGAGAGAGAGAAGAGAGAGAGAGATAGAGAAAGATGAGAGAGAGAGAGTAGAGAGATGTGGGGTGAGCCGAGTAAGGTGAAAAGAGACAAGACAGAGACCTTTACAGAGTCAGGATATTATCCCCCGTGTGTGTTTGGTGTGTGTTGTTGTGTGTGTGTGTGTGCTGTGTGTGTGTATCGCTCATTGTTGCTCCCCGCTTTTATACTCAAACGCAAAGGGACAAAGACACCATGACACCTATACCACAGGACCAGGCAAGACTGAGCATGTCAGCCTCGTCCCTGGCACATGCACCTCTGGCCACATGAGGGATTTCGAGGTCACGGTGATTGTTCTGCCTGCAGCTATATGCTCCTCGAGGAGAAAGTGTCCTTCCTGTCGTTAATTGGTTCCACTAATTCACCCGGTGGTGTCCCTCAGCGTGCACACATCAGTCGTCGTGAGGTCGTCAGTGACACATTACACCTCAAAGACAAATCTCGATGAAACTATTTTATCATTATACAAGCCAAGTGCATATGCCCGGTGAAGTTGATGAATGTAAGGTGAACAGAGACATTAAAGACACATCAAAGACACATTCAAGCGTGTAAGACATGCAGGGCAGGTGCGTGCACGTTTTGTGTATATACAGCTGCAACGACCGCAAACTTTTCAAGGCTCCCTGAGACTTTTAATTAAAAACCTTGCTCGAGGAGCATCAGGCAAATATTAATGTAAAATGATGCATATAATCCACAAAACAATGACGTGTGTAATTTTCTTAATTTCCGACCTGGCACGGTTTCCTTTGAAGATTAACATCATGTTTTGTTTCATCCCGGTGGGGTTCTAATTGGTTTAGTGTGTAGTTGGTGGGGAGTGTATTTTGAATACCGATTCCTATAATACGCTTACGTCGCATTCTTCGTGTTAACAACTTTAAGGGAATTAATAGAGCGTGCAATCCATACTATGAGACTCAGATGCGGAATAAATATCACTCGTGTGCTCTCTTTCACCCCTCACGCTGCGCCACAGACGATAAAAGCAAAACCAAGAGCAGGCAAGTCGTAGCTGAAGGAAACAGCACATCCTCTCTTTAAAATCCTGTTCTGCCAAACATCCACAGGGCGGCAGCCACGATCCATGTGGAACAGTCATGTCTCCATTTCAGGACAAGCACAAAGATAGACTGCTCCTCATGTCAATTATCACTGACCTCTAGTGATCCAATATAATGAACAGCCGTCGGTTTTTATCCAGACTGGTTTTATTGAAACTTATTTTGAAGAGAGCCATTTCTGAAATTGATTTTGACAGTGAGATTGCACCATTTTTTCTCTTCCCTTTTCCTGTAGCTGAAGCAGCCGAACACAGACTGGACTCTCACAAAAAATCAGAACTCCTCCCTTAAAAGGTACTATTTTATAATGTTTTTATTTTCAAAGTTTGCATGTTATCAACTCCATGTAAAGCAAATGTACAGAAGCATACAATGCACACAACATGAGCTGAAGTACACAGCTTGTATATTGCTCAGGTTAAAATGTACATAGATAGTGTATTTAACTATGAGTCAAGGAGTTGCAATAACAGACTGATTCTTTGTTTGCAGTTATAACTCTATCAACATGGATGGCACCCTCATGCGTAAAGCTATGCATGCAGACCCAGAAAACTACGTCACCTCCATGGCGCCTGGGCAGTACTGGACCTGGGGTACACACATGAGAGGGGTGAAAGGTAAGAGAGGAGGACGACAAACAGCCTTCGTTAAATCCTCACACATTTACTTTCAGCAGTGGAGAAAATACATACATTTACTGAAATGTTTCTTATTTTAATGGACTTTGAATTGTAGTAGAATATGAAAATACTCAATTAAGAGGCACAGCTTGCACCATTTACAGAATAAAAATATGCTAGTTTAAGATAAGGAAATAAATACACAAGCAGTATATTAGGTAAGACAATAAAATGAAAGCATGAATAATAATAATCCAATGATAACATATATTTCCTCAAAGGGAGCATTCTGAATAATGACTACTTTTAAGTGAACATTTAAACCCATGACCTTTACTTGAAATAGAGTATATTTTATACACTATGCTACAACCTTTAGTCAAAGATAGCCTTCTTCCACCTCGCAGGTTCACTCATTTACAGTATGTTAGGTACCATAGCATTGTATAAAACACTGCACATATTTATGCTTTCATAACGACATGTTTTTCTTTGTTGTTCTCCTAATTGGTTTGTTAATATAGTCTTAACTAATCTCCAGGACCACGAACAGCATCAGGGCAGGGTTGTTGTAGCGCCCCATCATTACGAATCTGTTTGTGTATTTTTGTTGCTGATGTCATTAGTACAGCACTTTGTTAGAAAAGTGCTGTACTAATGACAATAGCACAACAGCCTTAAGTCAATATTGAATAATTAAGTAGCTGCTTCTCCTCTTTTTTTCTCTCCTTAACTCTACAGACTATAAGATGTCTCCTTCAACCAGTGGGGTCCCCTCTCGCCCCTGGACTCCTCTGTGCACACCTCCTCCTCAACAGCAGCAGCCATCGATACCTCCCCACCCCCACCCTCATCCACACCCTCATCCGCACCCCCACCCACCACCTGACTACCACCACAATGTGCACATCCCTGGGACACCATCAGGCTTTTGCACCCTGAGGCCAGCAGTACACCGAAGCGAGCTGGACGTCCACAATGCATTCTCAACCTTTGGGAAGAAGCGTCGTCTCCAGATGTCCCCCCAGGGAGAGGCTGCGATTATAAATAATGACTTGTACAATGACTGAGTTTTCAATGACGACGGATAGTCTCATATAAAGACTGAGGAGGAGGAGAGCATTCAGTGAATACATGAATGGACATATGAGAGGATGCACAAAAGGGGAACACTAAATGAGGAATCCTTTTCGGCTAAAACGCTGAAAATAAATAAAGTCTGATGGCTGTTTATGTGTCACGCCAGTGTAACATGATCAACGTATGTGTCTGCCTATTATTATTTAGACAATCAAACTGGAGCAGCAATTACATCCAAAATGTTTCGAAAAAGCATTAGTGGTAAATAATTTTGCACATCATTATGAATTTATATTTTTGGCTTTATGAAAAGAAAAAGCGTTTTCTTTTTGTATTTTTGAATGCTAACAGAGCTTGAGTGAATATGATACATAATATGATCATGTATATGCAAGCTGCCACATGACGCAGACAACTGTAAAGAGGGGATTTTCCCCATACATGTACTGTATACATTTATGAAAATAAAGTATTTTTTTCATATTGTCGTTCATATGTGTTTGAAATATGCATGTGTTATTCCTAAAGCTCAAGGCCTTTAACCCATACGAACGCTCATGGATGCACACACTCACACACAGCTTTGGTCTATCTACACGCATAAAGCATTTAGATGTAAGTTTCCCAGATCTATGTTTAATTAGCTTGAGTCAATTATTCTGGGGTGAAAAAGTTCCACAGCTATTCCTACAAGGGTAAAAAGCTTTTCGCCTTGGTAAGCTGTTTTCCACAGCGAGGAATACACATAGTAAAATGCTAACATATGCTAATTGGAGTGCTTGCATTTCCATTTGCCCGCAGAGAATTGTGGGGTTCATTAAATGAACAAACAGAACCTCCTCTCTCGAAATATCACTTTAATTAAGACCACCAACACGAATACAAGCATCCGGGGGAGGGGGGCTCAGCTCCAAATGTCACACCTGGATGCGAGCTACAGGCCCTATGACTTCTCTCTCTGTGCCCTTTACATCTTACTTCTCAGGGAATTAGTTATACAGTCAACAGATGAGAGCTGGCCAGAAATGAGCAGGGTAATTAGGTCGTTGTATGGCTCAGACTGAAAATAATCCTGTTAATAAGGAAACGGGTGTCCATAGGGAGCATGGAGGGGAGCAGGCTAACCTTCTCTGCGGTAAGGTGATCCACAGGGACGGCTGAGGGAGCAGCCGTATTTAGGTTCATCTTGGCTTACTTTCAGATGAGTCAGGAATAGAGTTCTGTTCAGGAATCAGACGGGCATAATTATTATGCTTACTATCTGCTAAAAGAACAATTTTTTATTTAAAGAAATGCTGATTTTTAAAAATAATTTTCACATGGGCATCAAGCATAGACACATTATGTATATCTTATACTTAGTGTTTTGTTGAAAATAGTTAAATTATTGTAATTAAATTATCTTTACAGCAACATGATACTCAGCAAAGGGCAAGTCGTGTCCCCCACATCCTTAAACCATGTGGGTCATTTGCATTGCAGCTGTCCATGGCCATAGTGCTGAAATAGTTTTTGAACAGTGCTTCTTTCCAAACCAGATGCTATGTATCCATTCGTCCACCAGAAGGCGCATGTGACCATACTCAATTAACTCAGGTGCAGTTAGTTGAATGTAATGTTTTTGAGGCACGCTTCTTCCTCTTCATGACACGGACACACGCAAACGAATCTTGAATGCAAATTAAGCCACGGTAGCCACCCTTAACACTTTGATAACCATCATGTATTGCATGACTTTCATCAGTTCTTTAGTCAAAACATTAAATCAATCAAGTTTTTTAAGGCCAGTTGTTTGAGACATATTCAGATTTTTCCTAACAAAAACGCTGTCACAGCAATCATGCAATTATAAAAAAAAAAAAAAAAAGTAAATAAACTGCTGCAAACTTATAAACTATCAAAAGTCAAAGTAATAATTACGGCCCTGTGCGAGTATCACAATGTAATATAATATTTATATGGATTGATAGAAGCATTTGAACCTAGCAGCTGACCGTGGTGGGGGTAATCGTGTTTTTAGCATTAATCGCAGTCAAATGCTGCATTATATTGTATTGTATGCATCAATGTTTCATATCCACTCTCAATGACTCTGACTACTGTATGATGAGCATATGCACCATCTTGCAACATACTGTAACACTGACTTTAGAACAGATTTATCCACCAGATGGCATCATGGAGTAAGAATCATTAGACGGCACACCAAACAAACAGTCTTAGGTTGGAAGAGTAGATTATTTTTGCATTGTACACTCGGGGTGTGTCAGGCTACAATGACGTCATCGTCAGACAAAAGCAACAGAGTGGAAGCGGGAGGGGCCGAGGAGCGTGCAGCTCTCTTGTTCTTTTTGAGACAGACCACATCTATAAATATTTCCACAGTTATCTTTCATGCAGCAAATTACTATTCAGTTAATGTGTTATTTTATTTTGTTGGTGTGTGTTGATTCAGGGACATTGAATCCAATATTATTCAGATTCGTCTCCTCAAATAAAAACCCAGAGGCTCTTCTTTGTGTTTGTGTCACAAGACTATAAGAACACCGTCCCAGATCGTGAAGGATAACAATGCTTTTTATTATTTAACCTGAACCAAACCTGGTGCTTTGTCGCACCCTAGTGACGTAGGAAGGTAATACTTCTCAGTTTGTATTTGAAAAGTTTGTTTTATTGCTAATTCGTCAGATTTGTGTGACTTTGTTCACTGATCTCAACCTCTTAATATTATGCCCGATATTATTGCTCAATTTCTGTGACTCTTCACACTGTAAAAAGTTGCCTTGTTTGTCCTAAACTCAATATAGCATGTATCAAAATCAGAAGTGATAGATTATGCCAGTGAAAGCTGTTCAGGCATGGTGTTGCACCTCTGACCTTTAAGCTCTTTACAGGTTGGAACATTCAAAGGATCCATGTCTGTGTTCTGGCTCAAAGTATCAAACATGATCTGTCTGCAGATCGTTACAGAATAAAAAACAAGCAGGCTGACTGAGATCTTCAATACGTCACAAAGCAACAGCTTCAACATTGCTATTTAGATGAGACAACTCAGAGTGCTCTGTTGCACACTAACTAAAGGAGAACGCAGACAGTATAACAACACCTCTAGAACATAATCATAAACTTGGGCTGGAGGAGACATTTTGTATTGCCTTCATCTCTCATGAGTGGCTACATTTGTGAATAATAAAGATGTCTGTTGGTCTATAGGAGGAATCATGTGGCCACAGCCGGTTAGATGTCAGATCCTTACATCCAAAATGAGCTACTGGTACCTAAGGACTTAGAAGGTCCAACATACAGCTGGTGGTGGAAAGTTGTGTAGTATATTTAATAAACAAGTAGTTAAGCACACATTTGTTACAACTGCTTTGTGTGTGGATATGTTATGTTGCTTTATACTTCTACTCCACTATAGGTGCACCTAAAGACGCAGTAGTCACTGAAACAATGACAACATGTTCATATTTAGATAATCCATTTACTTAATTGTGTTTTTATCCTTAAAACCACTAGCTTTTGCTACAATATCATGCTAAATAAAGTAACTGTTTATGCTGTGAGAAATACAATACAGATTATTAAATGGAGCACACTCATGCCATCAGGACCTTTTCCCAAATGACATGTAATAATTTAGTGATCAACTCACTCATCAGAGTCTATCTAAGTATGATCCCCATATCAGAAACAGAAAGTTACTATTAGGGTTTAAGGTAAATTATTTAATTTGATTGATTTGAGTTTGAACTGAATTTAATTTGCATGACAAAAACTGTTTCCACCGTTATAGGTTAAAAGGTTACAGGTTTTGTTTTTTTAGTAGAAGGTAGCTTTGCAGTGTTTTGAGCCCGGGAATAATCTGTTCATCTTTTTTGTTTAATTCAATCTGAGGTTTAATAATACATCAATGGCTGGCCTGATACTTGCAATGACCAAGGCGGACTGAGATGTGGCTTCTAATGAACTGGTCATATTTCAAAGAAAAATTAAATTGTGTAAAGCCCATTGTGTAATTTAAATGAAGACACAACTTAATTTCAATTTAATTAAGTAGACCTAGGACCAGGTGGAGGGATTATATCTCTTTGCTGGCCTGGGAGCGCCTTGGGATCCCCCAGTCAGAGCTGGTTGATGTCGCCAGGGAAAGGAAAGTTTGGGGCTCTCTGCTGGAACTGCTACCCCCGCCACGACCACGGATAAGTGGGAGAAGATGGATGGATGGATGGACAACTTAATTTCATGATTTAACATCCACCAATCAATTTTCTACATCTCTTGTCTAAAAGCTGAAACTTGTACCAGCGTGAAAAGGGTAATAGACAGAGACTGCCCTGGTGTCCAGTGTACGATGGGTCAAACAAACTTTGAAAGGCATTATGGCAACACATTCCCATTAAATGTAAGAGACATTTCACATGACCTGCATTTCTATTAAACAGCAGCTGAGCAACCAGAGGAAGGCCATGAAGAAAACAGAAAGTAAGCTGTAGATTGTATTCATTGATGTTGTTAACATGCAGCTCTATATGTATTATCTTTTGAAAAGTGTTAACCTCCACTTGCAGAAAGGGTTATCACATGCACCTTCACAACATCAAACAACAAGGACCAGATGAAAAAAGCTCTGTGACTATCTTGTGTTATCTTTGATGTTCTTTTCACTGGGCATGTACATTGATTAATAATACAATTATTTGTCAAATAAACAAAACTAAAGAAAAAAAAACAATAAATAAGAAAAAGCTTAAAGAAAATTGTAGTATGTTAGTCACACTGTGGCTAAAAATGCCACAAATAACTTGCACTTGAATTTGCCTACTCCCCGATAAAATGTCTATGTTTAAAAATAACAAGCTCCTGATGTGCCAAGTCATGTTGCAGCAAATATTGAGCACATTAACTGCTACAAAATTGATCCAACCATGTCTTATTATTTTCCTGATGTTGGATAAAAGGAAAGGGTCTATAGTTTCAAATTAACCTGCATTTATAATATCTGTCAGGGACCCTCGTTTATGGCAACATATATAATGTATGCAGTTGTAAACTATAACTGCTATTCTTAACCAGAAAGTACATTGGAAGCCTTTATACATTACAATTATTATTTAAACATGTTCAAATCCTGCTCAATGTCACTGAACTGTGAGACTATATTTTATTTCCAGTTCTTAGGCAACATAATTGATTCAACTGCACAGCTACTGATCTATGTCACATGGTGTCACTGTTGACCACTAAAGCACAATGCATCTCTCTGCTGGAAGCCCTGACACACCCATTTGTAAAGGATGCAGGACACAGCTTTTTGGACGATACACTTTTTATTTAACACCCAAAGACATGTTCTCTTCCCTATCTTAAAAATCTACAAAACCAACGCACGTCTTTAGCATCTGGAGTATTGTTCCCCGCAGAAGGAAGGATGCTTTTCTTGACCACTTTCTTTGTCCTGTCTGCGCTATGGCCCAGCGCTTTGTCAGTGACACGGTACTCCATTGAGGAGGAGATGGAAAGGGGTTCCGTTGTGGCTAATCTCGCTACGGATTTGGGACTTGAGCCTGGAGGTTTGGCACAACGAGAGGTAAAACTTGATATTTTCCACAACAAAAAATATCTAGATGTCAATAAAAAGACGGGTGAGTTGTATATCGTCGAAAAAATGGACAGGGAAAATCTATGTTTGGCGAAAACAACATGTTTTCTAAAGCTTGATGTTATAATAGAAAGCCCCTTGCGCATCTTCAACATTGAACTTGGAATAACGGACATAAACGATAATGCTCCACATTTTCGACGAGACAGAGTAGAGCTCGACGTTTCAGAATCAGCAACACCGGGAGAGAGATTTTCTCTGCCCAACGGTGTGGATCCAGATGTTGGCAAAAATACAATTAAAACATACAAACTCAGTGTCAGTGAACATTTCACCATCGAAATTCAGACGGGCAGTGATGGAACTCAATATGTTGATTTGGTGTTGACTAAATCTTTAGACAGAGAGGAAAAGGCTGTTCATAATTTAATACTGACTGCTGTGGACGGAGGGGTCCCTGTGCGCTCCGGCACTGCCAATATTATTGTTAGAGTACAAGACACAAACGACAATGCTCCTCAATTTGACAGGCAGACTTACACAATAAATATGACAGAAAATTCCCCGATTGGATCCTTAGTGATGAAGCTCAACGCCACAGATCTAGACGAGGGTCTGCATTCAGAGATCGTCTACTCATTCACCCTTTACACGTCAGAAAAAACACAAGATATATTTGCATTGCATCCTAACACAGGGGAGTTAACTGTGAAGGGTACTATTGACTACGAAGATATGAAATTGTATGAGATGCACATTGAGGCAACAGACAAAGGGACGCATCCCTTGCTGGGACAATGTAAAGTAGTCGTCCACGTGACAGATATGAATGACAATTATCCTGAAATTACCATACAGTCTGTAAAAAACACGGTGGATGAGAATATCCCCGTGGGAAGTGTCATTGCTCTGGTAGGTGTGAGTGACAGAGACACCGGTGATAATGGAAACGTAAGCTTATCCATACATCAGCACATGCCTTTTATTCTCAACAAGTCATCTGATAGACCCCTGCATTACAAGCTCATAGTGTCTGAACCGTTGGATCGTGAATCAGTACCTGAATATGACATTATACTGATTGTGAGAGATGCAGGAACACCACCTTTATCTGATAACGAAACAATAACAGTGCATCTATTGGATGTTAATGACAATGTGCCACAGTTCCCTCTGTCATTTTATACTATACGTGTGGAGGAGAATAACGCTCCTGGTGCCCTGATCAGTTCCCTATCTGCATTTGACCCTGACCTCCATGAAAACCAGTATCTAGTTTATTTCATCCTAGAGAGGGAGATAGCCAACACCTCCATGTCCATGCTGTTCTCCATCAACCCAGAGAACGGGAATCTTTACGCACTAAAAACTTTTGACTATGAGATCGAGAAGGAGTTTCTCTTCCACATCGAGGCCAGGGACTCTGGCTCTCCTCCTCTCAGCAGTAACGTGACGGTGCACATCATCATTGTGGACCAGAACGACAACGCTCCGGTTATTGTGTCTCCGTGGCGCGCACACGGCTCGGTGGTGGAGGAAAAGATCCCCAGATCTACCGATAAAGGCTCTCTGGTTTCTAAAGTGATAGCCTTGGACACAGACTCGGTGCACAACTCCCGGATAACCTACCAGTTCCTGCAGGTGACTGACGCCACCTTGTTCAGTCTGGACCAATACAACGGAGAGATCCGGACCATGAGGATGTTCAGCTACAGAGACCCGCGCCACCAGAGACTGGTTGTTGTTGCCAAGGACAACGGGCAGCCTGCCCTCTCTGCTACAGTCACCATCAAGCTGTCCACAGTGGAGACTGCCGTGAAGGCCTACTCTGACATGACCGAGGTGCCTCTAGAATATGACATCTTCTCAGACCTCAACCTGTACCTGGTCATCGGTCTGGGCTCCGTGTCATTTCTCCTGCTGATCACCATACTGGTCACCATCGTAATCAAGTGTCAGAAACCCAAGCCCAGCAAAGCGGCTCCTCCCTGCAGGAACAGTGTGATCAGTGAGGGGAACTCCACCATCGCAGACTCCACTCTGGTCTCCAACGACGCCTACTGGTACAGTATGTTTCTAGCAGAGACCAGGAAAGGAAAGATGGTGGTCAGACAGCCTGTGCCAAAGGGCTCCAGATATATCGTGTCCAGTTTACCACGAGGCACTGGACTCACAGACACTAGTGGATCAGCAGCCTCCACTCTGCAGGTGAGAGTCTAATTTACATATGTCATGTGTTTTTATTTGTATTTTGTATAAATAATAGATGACATTTAATTCCCCAACTTTTTATCAGATGAAAATCTTTATTTTTCCAATATGTACTTTAAACAATATATTTTATAAAAACCTACTTTAAATCCATAAACAAGCTTTAAAAAAGTTTTATTTTGTATGCACCTAATGGTTAGCACAAATCCCTTAATAAACAAAAGGTGGCGCTGCTTTACAAATAAAAACTGCTCATGAACGCCATGACAGTGTATAGCTGACATCAGGGCAGATTGTGAAACAAGCGGAGTGCTCCGTGTGGCTGAACCTCCACTCCGAAATAGCGGTTTTCCTTGTTTTTCTCAAAAGAAAAATCGTGATTACCACTGCAGAATTATGCTTGGGATTAATGCCATTACAGACGAATTCAACATCACTGGAAACGTAGATTATATTGTGTGAAGTGCTGTAAACCAGCCCACAACAATGGGGTCATTTGTAACAATGCAGTCTTGCAGAAGGTACGTGGTGCTCGTTATTTTTCTTTCTTTCGTTGGTAACATATCGACTTCAGTGACACATTATTCAATACCGGAGGAAATGAAAGAAGGATCAGTTTTAGCTAACATTGCTACGGATCTTAGCCTGGATATAAATACACTGAATCAGAGGAAGATGCGTCTTGACATTATTGCAAATAAGAAAATATCTGGATGTGAACAAAGAGACTGGAGAACTGTATATTGTAGAGAAGATTGACAGAGAATACATGTGTCTTGCAAAGTCGTCTTGTTATCTCAAACTGGAGGTTATACTAGAAAATCCAATCCGCATTTTTAATATAGAAGTAGAAATTCTGGATATGAACGACAACGCCCCGCAATTTCGGAGAGACGTCATACATTTAGACATTTCTGAAGCAACGCCGAAAGGAGAGAGGTTCTCTCTCAGCAATGCAGTTGATCCTGATGTTGGAAGCAATTCAGTAAAAACATACAATTTTAGCGAAAGTGAACATTTTAATATTGAAGTTCAGACTGGAAGAGATGGGTCAAAATTTGCGGAATTAATCTTAACAAAGAGTTTAGACCGAGAGCAGCAGGCTGTGCATAATTTAATTCTCACAGCTGTAGATGGAGGCACACCTGCACGTTCTGGCATGGCAAGTGTTATCGTTCGTGTTTTAGACACAAATGACAACACTCCTACTTTTGACAAAATAAATTACAGTATTAAAATCATGGAAAATTCTCCCATTGGAAGTCTTGTTGTTCATCTTAATGCAACAGACTTAGACGAGGGGTCAAATTCTGATATAACATACTCTTACAGTTTATATACATCAGAGAAAACCCAGGAAACATTTAATCTGAATCCTTCCTCTGGTGAAATTACTGTTAAAGGAATGTTAAATTATGAGGACTTCAGGATTTATGATATGGAGGTTATAGCAACTGATAAAGGAGCCAATAGTTTATCAGGACAATGCACTGTAAACATTCTGGTTGAAGACATGAATGACAACCACCCAGAAATATCTATTAAATCCTTTCAGAGTCCAGTCAATGAAAACATAGAATTAGACACAGTGATAGCAGTGGTGAGTGTCAGTGATAAAGACTCTGGGGACAATGGAGTGGTTGATCTTCACATTCCTGATAACATGCCTTTCAAACTGAGGGAGTCCTCTGATAACTATTATGAATTAGTGGTGTCAGAGCCGTTAGATCGTGAGAGGGTCCCTGAATATGACATCACTTTCACTGTGACAGACAGAGGCTCTCCTCCTTTGTCTGACAATGAGACCATGACCTTAGAGCTGCTGGATGTTAATGACAATGTGCCACAGTTCCCTCAGTCATTTTATACTATACGTGTGGAGGAGAATAACGCTCCTGGAGCCCTGCTCAGTTCCCCAACTGCGTTTGACCCTGACCTCCATGAAAACCAGTATCTAGTTTATTTCATCCTAGAGAGGGAGATAGCCAACACCTCCATGTCCATGCTGTTCTCCATCAACCCAGAGAACGGGAATCTTTACGCACTAAAAACTTTTGACTATGAGATCGAGAAGGAGTTTCTCTTCCACATCGAGGCCAGAGACTCTGGCTCTCCTCCTCTCAGCAGTAATGTGACGGTGCACATCATCATTGTGGACCAGAACGACAACGCTCCGGTTATTGTGTCTCCGTGGCGCGCACACGGCTCGGTGGTGGAGGAAAAGATCCCCAGATCCACCGATAAAGGCTCTCTGGTTTCTAAGTGATAGCCTTGGACACAGACTCGGTGCACAACTCCCGGATCACCTACCAGTTCCTGCAGGTGACTGACGCCACCTTGTTCAGTCTGGACCAATACAACGGAGAGATCCGGACCATGAGGATGTTCAGCTACAGAGACCCGCGCCACCAGAGACTGGTTGTTGTTGCCAAGGACAACGGGCAGCCTGCCCTCTCTGCTACAGTCACCATCAAGCTGTCCACAGTGGAGACTGCCGTGAAGACCTACTCTGACATGACTGAGGTGCCTCTAGAATATGACATCTTCTCAGACCTCAACCTGTACCTGGTCATCGGTCTGGGCTCCGTGTCATTTCTCCTGCTGATCACCATACTGGTCACCATCGTGATCAAGTGTCAGAAACCCAAGCCCAACAAAGCGGCTCCTCCCTGCAGGAACAGTGTGATCAGTGAGGGGAACTCCACCATCGCAGACTCCACTCTGGTCTCCAACGACGCCTACTGGTACAGTATGTTTCTAGCAGAGACCAGGAAAGGAAAGATGGTGGTCAGACAGCCTGTGCCAAAGGGCTCCAGATACATCGTGTCCAGTTTACCACGAGGCACTGGACTCACAGACACTAGTGGATCAGCAGCCTCCACCCTGCAGGTATGACCATAGTTCTAACTTGTCTCATACAATCTTGTGTTCGTATTAACGTAGCGTGCCATATAACATTGTAGAAGGTTTTAAATATATCTTTATCAAAACAAAGTTGACAAACAAAAAAACAACATAATTATATTTAACAATATCTGCAGCAGTCTCTCATGTTGAGCTCACCTTTAAACCTTGATCCATCCTTTTTAAGCATCCTCATTACATCATCCATCCATTTTAAAGAACTGTGTTATACATTAGACAAAAAGTAACCCACGGTCACCTTGAGAGGGAACCATTGGAAACACGTTACAACGCCAAACATCCGGACAGCTCTGTGGTGCTGAATCTCTCATTGAAGGCAACCTCGCTGCGGGTCACAATATCCCCCAAATTCAATGTCATCAATAGTTTGGGATTGAAAACGTTATATAGCAACTTTTTTAATCAGTGTACATGTGCTTTATAAAGACGTTTGTGTGGATGACAGTAGAACAATAATGAGAGTATCTTTAAGACTCAAAAACCCAGATGTTATTTGTTCAAAGCCCTTAAACATCTTAATCTCAATGTTTTACTCCTATTCTTAACAGTCCTTACTGTGGGTTTTGCATACTTATCCAGCAGAGAAATTAAAGACGAAATGAAATAATTACAGAAAAAAAGCGTACATATATCTTAGTCGGAACTATACTTAAAAGACTAAACTCTAAAGTTTGAGGATAACTCGTACTACACAACATAGGCTGATTTAAAATGTTCATTCAACAAACCCTGCTAAAATGGTCTCTTTCTTGCACAAAGCGTCGCTTTTCCCCAGTCACGTGTAGTCTTGTGACATCACAGTCACCATCCGTTCGCAATTCTTATTTGCATTCAAGTGGGACGAGAAAATGGCTAACAAACGGCTACTGACGCTGAATGAATTTTGATTTCAAGTATCAAGCTGAGCTCAACTCATGTCACGTGTTTTTCTACTTATTTTGAACACATATTAGGTGAGATTTGATTTAGCATTTTTGAAAAGTAGGAGACATTAGTTTATTAAATATTTCAAGCAAATCTGTTTTAAAAAGCATTGTAATCCATACAAAACAATTAAAATGTATTTCATGCTTATTGTGCCTCATGTTAAGCACATAGCCATTAAAAAAGCAAGAGGTGGCGCTGTTTCTCTAAAATAAATCATTACACAAACGCCATGATGACAGTGAATCAGGACAGATCGTGAAACAACCGGGGAGCTTAGTGGTGCTGAACCTCCACTCCAAAAACTCGATTTTTCTTTTTCATATCGAAAGAAATCCCGGGATTACGTCTGCATGAACATGTATGAGATGAAAGCCATGATTGCAAACTGCAATATCAACGGAAACGGACATTAAATCGCTAAAGGTTCAGTGATACTGCACGCAACAATGGGGTCCTTTTTAAAAATGCAGTCTTGCAGAAGGTACGTGGTGCTCGTTATTTTTCTTTCTTTCTTTCGTAACATATCGACTTCAGAGACTCATTATTCAATACCGGAAGAAATGAATGAAGGATCTGTTGTAGCTAATATTGCTACAGATCTCAGCCTGGATGTTAAGACACTGAATCAGAGGAAGATGCGTGTTGACAGTATTGCAAATAAGAAATATCTGGATGTGAACAAAGAGACTGGAGAACTGTACATTGTAGAGAAGATTGACAGGGAAAATATTTGCCCGAGCAAGTCATCAGCGTCTTGTTACCCTCCGATTGGAGGTAATCCTTGAAAACCCACTACGAATCTTTAACATAGAAGTGGAACTTTTGGATATGAACGACAACGCCCCGCAATTTCGGAGAGAGGCCATACATTTAGACATATCTGAAGCAACGCCGAAAGGGGAGAGGTTCTCTCTCAGCAATGCAGTTGATCCTGATGTTGGAAGCAATTCAGTGAAAACATACAATCTGAGTGAAAGTGAACATTTTAATATTGAAGTTCAGACTGGAAGAGATGGATCGAAATCTGCAGAATTAATCTTAACAAAGAGTTTAGACCGAGAGCAGCAGGCTGTGCATAATTTAATTCTCACAGCTGTAGATGGAGGCACACCTGCACGTTCTGGCACTGCAAGTGTTATCGTTCATGTTTCCGACACGAATGACAACACTCCTACTTTTGACAAAACAAATTACAGCATCAAAATAATGGAAAATTCTCCCATTGGAAGTCTTGTTGTTCATCTTAATGCAACAGACTTAGACGAGGGGTCAAATTCTGATATAACATACTCTTACAGTTTATATACATCAGAGAAAACGCAGGACACATTTAATCTGAATCCTTCCTCTGGTGAAATTACTGTTAAAGGAATGTTAAATTATGAGGACTTCAGGATTTATGATATGGAAGTTATAGCAACTGATAAAGGAGCCAATAGTTTATCAGGACAATGCACTGTAAACATTCTGGTTGAAGACATGAATGACAACCACCCAGAAATATCTATTAAATCCTTTCAGAGTCCAGTCAATGAAAACATAGAATTAGACACAGTGATAGCAGTGGTGAGTGTCCGTGATAAAGACTCAGGGGACAATGGAGTGGTTGATCTTCACATTCCTGATAACATGCCTTTCAAACTGAGGGAGTCCTCTGATAACTATTATGAATTAGTGGTGTCAGAGCCGTTAGACCGTGAGAGGGTCCCTGAATATGACATCACTTTCACTGTGACAGACAGAGGCTCTCCTCCTTTATCTGACAATGAGACCATGACCTTAGAGCTGCTGGATGTTAATGACAATGTTCCACAGTTCCCTCAGTCATTTTATACTATACGTGTGGAGGAGAATAACGCTCCTGGAGCCCTGCTCAGTTCCCCAACTGCGTTTGACCCTGACCTCCATGAAAACCAGTATCTAGTTTATTTCATCCTAGAGAGGGAGATAGCCAACACCTCCATGTCCATGCTGTTCTCCATCAACCCAGAGAACGGGAATCTTTACGCACTAAAAACTTTTGACTATGAGATCGAGAAGGAGTTTCTCTTCCACATCGAGGCCAGAGACTCTGGCTCTCCTCCTCTCAGCAGTAACGTGACGGTGCACATCATCATTGTGGACCAGAACGACAACGCTCCGGTTATTGTGTCTCCGTGGCGCGCACACGGCTCTGTGGTGGAGGAAAAGATCCCCAGATCCACCGATAAAGGCTCTCTGGTTTCTAAAGTGATAGCCTTGGACACAGACTCGGTGCACAACTCCCGGATCACCTACCAGTTCCTGCAGGTGACTGACGCCACCTTGTTCAGTCTGGACCAATACAACGGAGAGATCCGGACCATGAGAATGTTCAGCTACAGAGACCCGCGCCACCAGAGACTGGTTGTTGTTGCCAAGGACAACGGGCAGCCTGCCCTCTCTGCTACAGTCACTATCAAGCTGTCCACAGTGGAGACTGCCGTGAAGACCTACTCTGACATGACTGAGGTGCCTCTAGAATATGACATCTTCTCAGACCTCAACCTGTACCTGGTCATCGGTCTGGGCTCCGTGTCATTTCTCCTGCTGATCACCATACTGGTCACCATCGTGATCAAGTGTCAGAAACCCAAGCCCAGCAAAGCGGCTCCTCCCTGCAGGAACAGTGTGATCAGTGAGGGGAACTCCACCATCGCAGACTCCACTCTGGTCTCCAACGACGCCTACTGGTACAGTATGTTTCTAGCAGAGACCAGGAAAGGAAAGATGGTGGTCAGACAGCCTGTGCCAAAGGGCTCCAGATACATCGTGTCCAGTTTACCACGAGGCACTGGACTCACAGACACTAGTGGATCAGCAGCCTCCACTCTGCAGGTATGACCATAGTTCTAACTTTTTTTGTATAATCTTGTGTTTGTATTAACAATGCGTGCCATAAAATTGTAGAATGTTTTAAATATATCGTTATCAAAACAAAGTTAACAAACAAATAACCAACATCATTTAACAATATCTGCAGCAGTCTCTCATGTTGAGCTCACCTTTAGACTTTAATCCGTGCTTTTTAAGCATCCCCATTACATCATCCTGCAATTTCCAAAGATTGGTGTTATACATTAGACAAAAAATAAACCACGGTCACCTTGAGAGGGAACCATTAGAAACACGTTACAGCGTCAAACAACCGGACAGCTCTATGGCGCTGATACTCTCATTAAAGGAAACCTCGCTGTTTCACGTGTCAAAATATCCCCATAATTCAATTTCTTCAATATTTTTTGTTTGACAATGCTATATAGCAACTTTTTAAATCAGTGTACATGTGCTTTAGAAAGACGGTCGTGTGGATGACAGCAAAACAATAATGAGAGTATCTTTAAGAGTCAAACACCCAGATGTTATTTGTTCAAAGCTCTTAAACATCTTCAATCTCAATGTTTTTACTCTGATTCTTAGCATTCATTACTCAGGGTTTTGCAGATGGTTACTACTCATCCAACAGAGCAATTAAAGACGAAATGAAATAATTCCATGACAAAAACATACAGGTATCTTATACATACTTAAAAGACTAAACTCTAATGTTTGAGGATAACTCGTACTACACAACACTAGGTTGATTTAAAATGATCATTCAACAAACCCTGCTAAGTTGGTCTCTTTTTTGCACAAAGCGTCACTGTTCCCCAGTCATGTATACTCTTGTGACATCAGTCGGCATCGGTGCGCAATTATACTTTTCATTCAAGTGACACGAGAAAATGGCGAACGAACGGCTACTGACGCTGAATGAATTTTGATTTCAAGTATCAAGCTGAGCTAAAATGTATTCATGTCATGTGTTTTTCTACTTATTTTGAACAAATATTAGGTGAGATTTGATTTAGCATTTTAGAAAAGTATAGGAGACATTATTAGTTTAACAATTATTTCAAGCATATCTGTTTAAAAAAACATTTAAAATCCATACAAAACATTTAAAATGTATTTATTGCTTATTGTGCCTCATGTTAAGCACATAGCCGTTAAAAAAGCAAGAGGTGGCGCTGTTTCTCTAAAATAAATTAGGACACAAACGCCATGACAGTGAATCGCTGTCATCAGAGCAGATCGTGAAACAACCGGAGAGCTGTGGTGCTGAACCTCCACTCCGAAAACGCGATTTTCCTTTTTCATACCGAAACAGATCTTTGGATTACCTCTACATGAACATGTATGAGATGAAAGCCATGATTTCAAACTGTAATATCAACGGAAAGGGACATTAAATCGCTAAAGGTGCAGTGATACTGCACGCAACGGGGTCCTTTTTAAAAATGCAGTCTTGCAGAAGGTACGTGCTGCTTGTTGTTTTTCTTTCTTTCGCTGGTAACATATCGACCTCAGAGACTCATTATTCAATACCAGAAGAAATGAAAGAAGGATCAGTTGTAGCTAATATTGCTACCGATCTCAGCCTGGATGTTAAGACACTGAATCAGAGGAAGATGCGTCTTGACATTATTGCAAATAAGAAATATCTGGATGTGAACAAAGAGACTGGAGAACTGTATATTGTAGAGAAGATTGACAGGGAAAATATTTGCAATACAAAATCATCAGCATCTTGTTACCTCCGATTGGAGGTAATCCTTGAAAACCCAGTACGAATTTTTAATATAGAAGTTGAAATTTTGGATATGAACGACAACGCCCCGCAATTTCGGAGAGACGTCATACATTTAGACATTTCTGAAGCAACGCCGAAAGGAGAGAGATTCTCTCTCAGCAATGCAGTTGATCCTGATGTTGGAAGCAATTCAGTAAAAACCTACCATCTGAGTGGAAGTGAACATTTTAATATTGAAGTTCAGACTGGAAGAGATGGGTCAAAATCTGCAGAATTAATCTTAACAAAGAGTTTAGACCGAGAGCAGCAGGCTGTGCATACTTTAATTCTCACAGCTGTAGATGGAGGCACACCTGCACGTTCTGGCACTGCAAGTGTTATCGTTCGTGTTTTAGACACAAATGACAACACTCCTACTTTTGACAAAATTAACTACAATATTAAAATAATGGAAAATTCTCCCATTGGAAGTCTGGTTGTTCATCTTAATGCAACAGACTTAGATGAGGGGTCCAATTCTGATATAACATACTCCTACAGTTTATATACATCAGAGAAAACGCAGGAAACATTTAATCTGAATCCTTCCTCTGGTGAAATTACTGTTAAAGGAATGTTAAATTATGAGGACTTCAGGATTTATGATATGGAAGTTATAGCAACTGATAAAGGAGCCAATAGTTTATCAGGACAATGCACTGTAAACATTCTGGTTGAAGACATGAATGACAACCACCCAGAAATATCTATTAAATCCTTTCAGAGTCCAGTCAATGAAAACATAGAATTAGACACAGTGATAGCAGTGGTGAGTGTCAGTGATAAAGACTCAGGAGACAATGGAGTGGTTGATCTTCACATTCCTGATAACATGCCTTTCAAACTGAGGGAGTCCTCTGATAACTATTATGAATTAGTGGTGTCAGAGCCGTTAGACCGTGAGAGGGTCCCTGAATATGACATCACTTTCACTGTGACAGACAGAGGCTCTCCTCCTTTGTCTGACAATGAGACCATGACGTTAGAGCTGCTGGATGTTAATGACAATGTTCCACAGTTCCCTCAGTCATTTTATACTATACGTGTGGAGGAGAATAACGCTCCTGGAGCCCTGCTCAGTTCCCCAACTGCGTTTGACCCTGACCTCCATGAAAACCAGTATCTAGTTTATTTCATCCTAGAGAGGGAGATAGCCAACACCTCCATGTCCATGCTGTTCTCCATCAACCCAGAGAACGGGAATCTTTACGCACTAAAAACGTTTGACTATGAGATTGAGAAGGAGTTTCTCTTCCACATCGAGGCCAGAGACTCTGGCTCTCCTCCTCTCAGCAGTAACGTGACGGTGCACATCATCATTGTGGACCAGAACGACAACGCTCCGGTTATTGTGTCTCCGTGGCGCGCACACGGCTCTGTGGTGGAGGAAAAGATCCCAAGATCTACCGATAAAGGCTCTCTGGTTTCTAAAGTGATAGCCTTGGACACAGACTCGGTGCACAACTCCCGGATCACCTACCAGTTCCTGCAGGTGACTGACGCCACCTTGTTCAGTCTGGACCAATACAACGGAGAGATCCGGACCATGAGGATGTTCAGCTACAGAGACCCGCGCCACCAGAGACTGGTTGTTGTTGCCAAGGACAACGGGCAGCCTGCCCTCTCTGCTACAGTCACCATCAAGCTGTCCACAGTGGAGACTGCCGTGAAGGCCTACTCTGACATGACAGAGGTGCCTCTAGAATATGACATCTTCTCAGACCTCAACCTGTACCTGGTCATCGGTCTGGGCTCCGTGTCATTTCTCCTGCTGATCACCATACTGGTCACCATCGTAATCAAGTGTCAGAAACCCAAGCCCAGCAAAGCGGCTCCTCCCTGCAGGAACAGTGTGATCAGTGAGGGGAACTCCACCATCGCAGACTCCACTCTGGTCTCCAACGACGCCTACTGGTACAGTATGTTTCTAGCAGAGACCAGGAAAGGAAAGATGGTGGTCAGACAGCCTGTGCCCAAGGGCTCCAGATACATCGTGTCCAGTTTACCACGAGGCACTGGACTCACAGACACTAGTGGATCAGCAGCCTCCACTCTGCAGGTATGGAAACACCTCAATTAAACATAGCTATACAAAAGTATGGTCTTTTTGCAAACTACATTATGTATGTGTTTTGCCCACAGCTCTCCACACTCTAAAAAATTAAATGATGTTATTGTTTAATAGGTGTGTATAAAAACATGTCTACCATTGTTGGTAAAAGGTTACTTTTAGATATAATTGAAGTGTTCCTACAAGTATTTGCTTCTTGTAACATTAGATAAAGTATATCATTAGATATTTGCAATATTTGCCGCTTCCACATCAGGGTTTCTTGCACATTGTTCTTAGATTTGGCTCAAGGTGGACAGGCAACAACAAAACAATTGATTGCGCTCTTTGTGGGAGAATGACATAAACACCAAACTCATTTTAATGACATTTAAATTAAAAACAACAACAAAAAACAAGAGTGCAGCAACATACAGTATCTCAACATACTTCAATGATTTCAGCAACACCAATCTGCGTGTAAGTGTGACACGAAGGAAAGGATAATGGCGTAATTCGAACCAATAGTTTATTGTGTTTTATTAACGTTATTAAATACATATATTAAAGATCCGTTTTATTAAAGACGGTTCTACAGAAAAAGCAAAACTGCAGTTAATGTTCACACGTTCCTAGAATAAAGTTTAAAACACGAAATACTGTAAACACGTTCAAAGTATTTTATCACGCATTTTGAATTAATATTTGATTGGAAATGTATGATAGTCAACGAAATGTGGACACTACACATGTTCTCCAAGGTTTAAAACCTCATGAAGGACTATTCATGTCGCTGCTCTCCACAAAAAAAGGATATCATTTACGAGGAGGTCCTTCATGATATCATCGTTCTCACGAGAGTTCATTCGAGGCTTGGCAGTCAGACATATTTCATAAAAATCTCTGCCATTACCAGCAGCATTAACAAACGCTTTCTTAAAACCAACATTTATTTTCGTCACGAGAAAAATACAACGGATATCACTTTGAAGGTTTGATACGGATTATGTTCAATGGCTCGTCTAATTCATCAGTATTCCTGCACAGGGTACGTTTTCATATTTCTCTTTCTTTCTGCCATAATGCACACGGTGTCCCCCGTGACCCATTATTCTGTTCCCGAAGAAATGGAAGAAGGCTCAGTCGTTGCTAATTTAGCAATTGATCTGGGATTAGACGTGAAGACTCTGAATAAGAGGGAAATGCGCGTAGATCTCGTAGGAAATAAAAAGTATATCGACATCAACAAAGACACAGGAGAGCTGTTCATGCAGGAAAGGATCGACAGAGAGCTTTTATGCCCCTTGAAGACAACAACGTGCTTTCTCAGATTAGACGCTACGATTGAAAACCCGATACGAATGTTTAACATTGAGGTGGAAATCACGGACATTAACGACAACGCTCCTCATTTCCGACGGGGAACGATGCATTTGGACATATCTGAATCAAGCCCTGTTGGAGAGAGATTCTCATTGAACAATGCTGCAGACCCGGATGTTGGAACAAATTCTGTGAACAATTACCATCTGAGCTCAAGTGAACATTTCTCCATCGAAATTCAGACCGGGAGAGACGGGACAAAGTTTGCGGATTTGATTTTGAAAAAAGCATTAGATAGAGAGCAGCAGGCTGTGCATAATCTTATTCTCACTGCTGTGGACGGTGGAGTGCCCACGCGCACAGGTACAGCCAGCATCATTGTTCGCGTGCTTGATGTGAACGACAACGCCCCGTCATTTGATAAAGACAAATACATCATAGATGTGATGGAAAACTCCCCCATTGGCAGTCTAGTAATACAATTAAAAGCTACTGATTTAGACGAAGGGTCAAATTCTGATATTATTTATTCATATAGTTTATATACATCAGAGAGAACACAACAGGTGTTTAACTTAAATCCAGAAAATGGTGAAATCAGAGTGAAAGAGATGATAAATTACGAAGATTTTAAACTTTATGACATGGAAGTTATTGCCAGTGATAAGGGGCCTAACTCCTTAACAGGACAGTGTAAACTGACAATACAGGTGGCAGACATGAATGACAATCATCCAGAAATATCCATCAAGTCTTTTCAAAGTCCAATTAAAGAAAACATAGAATTAGACACAGTGATAGCAGTGGTGAGTGTCAGTGATAAAGACTCAGGGGACAATGGAGTGGTTGATCTTCACATTCCTGATAACATGCCTTTCAAACTGAGGGAGTCCTCTGATAACTATTATGAATTAGTGGTGTCAGAGCCGTTAGACCGTGAGAGGGTCCCTGAATATGACATCACTTTCACTGTGACAGACAGAGGCTCTCCTCCTTTGTCTGACAATGAGACCATGACCTTAGAGCTGCTGGATGTTAATGACAATGTTCCACAGTTCCCTCAGTCATTCTATACTATACGTGTGGAGGAGAATAACGCTCCTGGAGCCCTGCTCAGTTCCCCAACTGCGTTTGACCCTGACCTCCATGAAAACCAGTATCTAGTTTATTTCATCCTAGAGAGGGAGATAGCCAACACCTCCATGTCCATGCTGTTCTCCATTAACCCAGAGAACGGGAATCTTTACGCACTAAAAACTTTTGACTATGAGATCGAGAAGGAGTTTCTCTTCCACATCGAGGCCAGGGACTCTGGCTCTCCTCCTCTCAGCAGTAACGTGACGGTGCACATCATCATTGTGGACCAGAACGACAACGCTCCGGTTATTGTGTCTCCGTGGCGCGCACACGGCTCTGTGGTGGAGGAAAAGATCCCCAGATCTACCGATAAAGGCTCTCTGGTTTCTAAAGTGATAGCCTTGGACACAGACTCGGTGCACAACTCCCGGATCACCTACCAGTTCCTGCAGGTGACTGACGCCACCTTGTTCAGTCTGGACCAATACAACGGAGAGATCCGGACCATGAGGATGTTCAGCTACAGAGACCCGCGCCACCAGAGACTGGTTGTCGTTGCCAAGGACAACGGGCAGCCTGCCCTCTCTGCTACAGTCACCATCAAGCTCTCCACAGTGGAGACTGCCGTGAAGACCTACTCTGACATGACCGAGGTGCCTCTAGAATATGACATCTTCTCAGACCTCAACCTGTACCTGGTCATCGGTCTGGGCTCCGTGTCATTTCTCCTGCTGATCACCATACTGGTCACCATCGTAATCAAGTGTCAGAAACCCAAGCCCAACAAAGCGGCTCCTCCCTGCAGGAACAGTGTGATCAGTGAGGGGAACTCCACCATCGCAGACTCCACTCTGGTCTCCAACGACGCCTACTGGTATAGTATGTTTCTAGCAGAGACCAGGAAAGGAAAGATGGTGGTCAGACAGCCTGTGCCCAAGGGCTCCAGATACATCGTGTCCAGTTTACCACGAGGCACTGGACTCACAGACACTAGTGGATCAGCAGCCTCCACTCTGCAGGTATGGAAACACCTCAATTAAACATAGCTATACAAAAGTATGGTCTTTTTGCAAACTACATTATGTATGTGTTTTGCCCACAGCTCTCCACACTCTTAAAAATTAAATTATGTTATTGTTTAATAGGTTTGTATAAAAACACATATACCATCGTTGGTAAAAGGTTACAGATATAATTGAAGTGTTCCTACAAGTATTTGCTTCTTGTAATAGATTAGATATTTGCAATATTTGCCCCTTCCACATCAGGGTTTCTTGCACATTGTTCTTAGATTTGGCTCAAGGTGGACAGGCAACAACAAAATAATTGATTGCGCTCTTTGTGGGAGCATGACATAAACACCAAACTAATTATAATGACATTTAAAGAAAAAAAACACAAAATAAAAACAGGAGTGCAGCAACATACAGTATCTCAACATACTTGAATGATTTCAGCAACACAAATCTGCGTGTAAGTGTGACACGAAGGAAAGGATAGTGGCGTAATTTGAACCGATAGTTTATTGTGTTTTATTAACGTTATTAAATACATATATTAAAGATCCGTTTTATTAAAGACGGTTCAACAGAAAAAGCAAAATTGCAGTTAATGCTTACACGTTCCTAAAGTTTAAAACACGAAATACTGTAAACACGTTCAAAGTATTGTATCACACATTTTGAATTCATATTTGATTGGAAATGTATGATAGTCAACGAAATGTGGACACTACACATTTTCTCCAAGGTTTAAAACCTCATGAAGGACTATTCATGTCGCTGCTCTCCACAAAAAAAAGGATATCATTTACGAGGAGGTCCTTCATGATATCATCGTTCTCACGAGAGTTCATTCGAGGCTTGGCAGTCAGACATATTTCATAAAAATCTCTGCCATTACCAGCAGCATTCTCAAACGCTTTCTTAAAACCAACATTTATTTTCGTCACGAGAAAAATACAACGAATATCACTTTGAAGGTTTAATACGGATTATGTTCAATGGCTCGTCTAATTCATCAGTATTCCTGCACAGGGTACGTTTTCATATTTCTCTTTCTTTCTGCCATAATGCACACGGTGTCCCCCGTGACCCATTATTCTGTTCCCGAAGAAATGGAAGAAGGCTCAGTCGTTGCTAATTTAGCAACTGATCTGGGATTAGACGTGACGACTCTGAATAAAAGAAAAATGCGCGTAGACGTGGCAGGCAATAAAAAGTATATCAACATCAACAAAGACACAGGAGAGCTGTTCATGCAGGAAAGGATCGACAGAGAGCTTTTATGCCCCTCGAAGACAACTACATCGTGCTTTCTCAGATTAGACGCTACGATTGAAAACCCGATACGAATGTTTAACATTGAGGTGGAAATCACCGACATTAACGACAACGCTCCTCATTTCCGACGGGGAACGATGCATTTGGACATATCTGAATCAAGCCCTGTTGGAGATAGATTCTCATTGAACAATGCTGCAGACCCGGATGTTGGAACAAATTCTGTGAACAATTACCATCTGAGCTCAAGTGAACATTTCTCCATCGAAATTCAGACCGGGAGAGACGGGACAAAGTTTGCGGATTTGATTTTGAAAAAAGCATTAGATAGAGAGCAGCAGGCTGTTCATAATCTTATTCTCACTGCTGTGGACGGTGGAGTGCCCACGCGCACAGGTACAGCCAGCATCATTGTTCGCGTGCTTGATGTGAACGACAACGCCCCGTCATTTGATAAAGACAAATACATCATAGATGTGATGGAAAACTCCCCCATTGGCAGTCTAGTAATACAATTAAAAGCTACCGATTTAGACGAAGGGTCAAATTCTGATATTATTTATTCATATAGTTTATATACATCAGAGAGAACACAACAGGTGTTTAACTTAAATCCAGAAAATGGTGAAATCAGAGTGAAAGAGATGATAAATTACGAAGATTTTAAACTTTATGACATGGAAGTTATTGCCAGTGATAAGGGGCCTAACTCCTTAACTGGACAGTGTAAACTGACAATACAGGTGGCAGACATGAATGACAATCATCCAGAAATATCCATCAAGTCTTTTCAAAGTCCAATGAAAGAAAACATAGAATTAGACACAGTGATAGCAGTGGTGAGTGTCAGTGATAAAGACTCTGGGGACAATGGAGTGGTTGATCTTCACATTCCTGATAACATGCCTTTCAAACTGAGGGAGTCCTCTGATAACTATTATGAATTAGTGGTGTCAGAGCCGTTAGACCGTGAGAGGGTCCCTGAATATGACATCACTTTCACTGTGACAGACAGAGGCTCTCCTCCTTTGTCTGACAATGAGACCATGACCTTAGAGCTGCTGGATGTTAATGACAATGTTCCACAGTTCCCTCAGTCATTCTATACTATACGTGTGGAGGAGAATAACGCTCCTGGAGCCCTGCTCAGTTCCCCAACTGCGTTTGACCCTGACCTCCATGAAAACCAGTATCTAGTTTATTTCATCCTAGAGAGGGAGATAGCCAACACCTCCATGTCCATGCTGTTCTCCATCAACCCAGAGAACGGGAATCTTTACGCACTAAAAACTTTTGACTATGAGATCGAGAAGGAGTTTCTCTTCCACATCGAGGCCAGGGACTCTGGCTCTCCTCCTCTCAGCAGTAACGTGACGGTGCACATCATCATTGTGGACCAGAACGACAACGCTCCGGTTATTGTGTCTCCGTGGCGCGCACACGGCTCTGTAGTGGAGGAAAAGATCCCCAGATCCACCGATAAAGGCTCTCTGGTTTCTAAAGTGATAGCCTTGGACACAGACTCGGTGCACAACTCCCGGATCACCTACCAGTTCCTGCAGGTGACTGACGCCACCTTGTTCAGTCTGGACCAATACAACGGAGAGATTCGGACCATGAGGATGTTCAGCTACAGAGACCCGCGCCACCAGAGACTGGTTGTCGTTGCCAAGGACAACGGGCAGCCTGCCCTCTCTGCTACAGTCACCATCAAGCTGTCCACAGTGGAGACTGCCGTGAAGGCCTACTCTGACATGACCGAGGTGCCTCTAGAATATGACATCTTCTCAGACCTCAACCTGTACCTGGTCATCGGTCTGGGCTCCGTGTCATTTCTCCTGCTGATCACCATACTGGTCACCATCGTGATCAAGTGTCAGAAACCCAAGCCCAACAAAGCGGCTCCTCCCTGCAGGAACAGTGTGATCAGTGAGGGGAACTCCACCATCGCAGACTCCACTCTGGTCTCCAACGACGCCTACTGGTACAGTATGTTTCTAGCAGAGACCAGGAAAGGAAAGATGGTGGTCAGACAGCCTGTGCCAAAGGGCTCCAGATACATCGTGTCCAGTTTACCACGAGGCACTGGACTCACAGACACTAGTGGATCAGCAGCCTCCACCCTGCAGGTATGACCATAGTTCTAACTTTTCTTGTATAATCTTGTGTTTGTATTAACAATGCGTGCCATAACATTGTAGAAGGTTTTAAATATATCGTTATCAAAACAAAGTTGACAAACAAATAACCAACATCATCATTTAACAATATCTGCAGCTATCTCTCATGTTGAGCTCACCTTTAGACTTTAATCCTTGCTTTTAAGCATCCCCATTACATCATCCTACAATTTTCAAAGATTGGTGTTATACATTAGACAAAACGTAACCCACGGTCACCTTGAGAGGGAACCATTGGAAACACGTTACAGCGTCAAACAACCGGACAGCTCTGTGGCGCTGATACTCTCATTAAAGGCAACCTCGCTGTTTCACGTGTCAAAATATCCCCATAATTCAAGATTCCTCAATAGTTTGGGATTGAAAACGTTATATAGCAAGTTTGTAAATCAGTGTGTGTGCTTTATAAAGATGGTCGTGTTGATGACAGCAAAACAATAATGAAAGTATCTTTAAGAGTCAAACACCCAGATGTTATTTGTTCAAAGCCCTTAAACATCTTAATCTCAATGTTTTTACTCTGATTCTTAGCATTCATTACTCAGGGTTTTGCAGATGGTTACTACTCATCCAACAGAGCAATTAAAGACGAAATGAAATAATTCCATGACAAAAACATACAGGTATCTTATACATACTTAAAAGACTAAACTCTAATGTTTGAGGATAACTCGTACTACACACCACTAGGTTGATTTAAAATGATCATTCAACAAACCCTGTTAAATTGGTCTCTTTTTTGCACAAAGCGTCACTGTTTCCCAGTCATGTATACTCTTGTGACATCAGTCGGCATCCGTGCGCAATTATACTTTTCATTCAAGTGATACGAGAAAATGGCGAACTAAAGGCTATGGCGCTGAATTAATTTAGATTTTAAGGATCAAGGTGAGCTCAAATGTATACGTCATATATTTTTCTATTTATTTTGTACCAATATCAACTGAGATTTGATTTAGCATTTTAGAAAAGTATAGGAGACATCGTTATTAGTTTAACAATTATTTCCAGCATATCTGTTTAAAAAAACATTTTAAATCCATACAAAACATTTAAAATGTATTTAGAGCTTATTGTGCCTCATGTTAAGCACATAGCCGTTCAAAAAGCAAGAGGTGGCGCTGTTTCTCTAAAAATAAATTAGGACACAAACGCCATGACAGTGAATCAGGGCAGATCGTGAAACAACCGGAGAGCTGTGGTGCTGAAACTCCACTCCGAAAACGCGATTTTCCTTTTTCATACCGAAACAAATCTTTGGATTACCTCTACATGAATATGTTTGAGATGAAAGCCATGATTGCAAACTGTAATATCAACGGAAAGGGACATTAAATCGCTAAAGGTGCAGTGATACTGCACGCAACAATGGGGTCCTTTTTAAAAATGCAGTCTTGCAGAAGGTACGTGCTGCTTGTTGTTTTTCTTTCTTTCGTTCCTAACATATCAACTTCAGTGACTCATTATTCAATACCGGAGGAAAAGAAGGAAGGATCAGTGGTCGCTAATATTGCTACCGATCTCAGCCTGGATGTTAAGACACTGAATCAGAGGAAGATGCGTCTTGACATTATTGCAAATAAGAAATATCTGGAAGTGAACAAAGAGACTGGAGAACTGTATATCGTTGAGAAGATTGACAGAGAATACATGTGTCTTGCAAAGTCGTCTTGTTATCTCAAACTGGAGGTTATATTAGAAAATCCACTACGAATCTTTAATATAGAAGTAGAAATTCTGGATGTTAACGACAACGCCCCGCAATTTCGGAGAGAGGCCATACATTTAGACATTTCTGAAGCAACGCCAAAAGGAGAGAGGTTCTCTCTCAGCAATGCAGTTGATCCTGATGTTGGAAGCAATTCAGTAAAAACCTACCATCTTAGCGAAAGTGAACATTTTAATATTGAAGTTCAGACTGGAAGAGATGGATCGAAATTTGCAGAATTAATCTTAAAAAATAGTTTAGACCGAGAGCAGCAGGCTGTGCATAATTTAATTCTCACAGCTGTAGATGGAGGCACACCTGCACGTTCTGGCACTGCAAGTATTATCGTTCATGTTTCCGACATGAATGACAACACTCCTACTTTTGACAAAATAAATTACAGCATCAAAATAATGGAAAACTCTCCCATAGGAAGTCTTGTTGTTCATCTTAATGCAACAGACCAAGACGAGGGTTCAAATTCTGATATAACATACTCCTACAGTTTATATACCTCAGAGAAAACCCAGGAAACATTTAATCTGAATCCTTCCTCTGGTGAAATTACTGTTAAAGGAATGTTAAATTATGAGGACTTCAGGATTTATGATATGGAAGTTATAGCAACTGATAAAGGAGACAATAGTTTATCAGGACAATGCACTGTAAACATTCTGGTTGAAGACATGAATGACAACCACCCAGAAATATCTATTAAATCATTTCAGAGTCCAGTCAATGAAAACATAGAATTAGACACAGTGATAGCAGTGGTGAGTGTCAGTGATAAAGACTCAGGGGACAATGGAGTGGTTGATCTTCACATTCCTGATAACATGCCTTTCAAACTGAGGGAGTCCTCTGATAACTATTATGAATTAGTGGTGTCAGAGCCGTTAGACCGTGAGAGGGTCCCTGAATATGACATCACTTTCACTGTGACAGACAGAGGCTCTCCTCCTTTATCTGACAATGAGACCATGACGTTAGAGCTGCTGGATGTTAATGACAATGTGCCACAGTTCCCTAAGTCATTCTATACTATACGTGTGGAGGAGAATAACGCTCCTGGAGCCCTGCTCAGTTCCCCAACTGCGTTTGACCCTGACCTCCATGAAAACCAGTATCTAGTTTATTTCATCCTAGAGAGGGAGATAGCCAACACCTCCATGTCCATGCTGTTCTCCATCAACCCAGAGAACGGGAATCTTTACGCACTAAAAACTTTTGACTATGAGATCGAGAAGGAGTTTCTCTTCCACATCGAGGCCAGAGACTCTGGCTCTCCTCCTCTCAGCAGTAACGTGACGGTGCACATCATCATTGTGGACCAGAACGACAACGCTCCGGTTATTGTGTCTCCGTGGCGCGCACACGGCTCGGTGGTGGAGGAAAAGATCCCCAGATCCACCGATAAAGGCTCTCTGGTTTCTAAAGTGATAGCCTTGGACACAGACTCGGTGCACAACTCCCGGATCACCTACCAGTTCCTGCAGGTCACTGACGCCACCTTGTTCAGTCTGGACCAATACAACGGAGAGATCCGGACCATGAGGATGTTCAGCTACAGAGACCCGCGCCACCAGAGACTGGTTGTTGTTGCCAAGGACAACGGGCAGCCTGCCCTCTCTGCTACAGTCACCATCAAGCTGTCCACAGTGGAGACTGCCGTGAAGGCTTACTCTGACATGACCGAGGTGCCTCTAGAATATGACATCTTCTCAGACCTCAACCTGTACCTGGTCATCGGTCTGGGCTCCGTGTCATTTCTCCTGCTGATCACCATACTGGTCACCATCGTAATCAAGTGTCAGAAACCCAAGCCCAGCAAAGCGGCTCCTCCCTGCAGGAACAGTGTGATCAGTGAGGGGAACTCCACCATCGCAGACTCCACTCTGGTCTCCAACGACGCCTACTGGTACAGTATGTTTCTAGCAGAGACCAGGAAAGGAAAGATGGTGGTCAGACAGCCTGTGCCAAAGGGCTCCAGATACATCGTGTCCAGTTTACCACGAGGCACTGGACTCACAGACACTAGTGGATCAGCAGCCTCCACTCTGCAGGTATGGAAACACCTCAATTAAACATAGCTATACAAAAGTATGGTCTTTTTGCAAACTACATTATGTATGTGTTTTGCCCACAGCTCTCCACACTCTTAAAAATTAAATTATGTTATTGTTTAATAGGTTTGTATAAAAACACATATACCATCGTTGGTAAAAGGTTACAGATATAATTGAAGTGTTCCTACAAGTATTTGCTTCTTGTAATAGATTAGATATTTGCAATATTTGCCCCTTCCACATCAGGGTTTCTTGCACATTGTTCTTAGATTTGGCTCAAGGTGGACAGGCAACAACAAAATAATTGATTGCGCTCTTTGTGGGAGCATGACATAAACACCAAACTCATTTTAATGACATTTAAATAAAAACAAAAACAAAAAAAAACAGGAGTGCAGCAACATATCTCAACATACTTGAATGATTTCAGCAACACCAATCTACGTGTAAGTGTGACACGAAGGAAAGGATAGTGGCGTAATTTGAACCGATAGTTTATTGTTTTTTATTAACGTTATTAAATAGGCCTACATATATTAAAGACGGTTCAACAGAAAAAGCAAAATTGCAGTTAATGCTTACACGTTCATAAAGTTTAAAACACGAAATACTGTAAACACGTTCAAAGTATTTTATCACACATTTTGAATTAATATTTGATTGGAAATGTATGATAGTCAACGAAATGTGGACACTACACATTTTCTCCAAGGTTTAAAACCTCATGAAGGACTGTTAATGTCGCTGCTCTCCACAAAAAAAGGATATCATTTACGAGGAGGTCCTTCATGATATCATCGTTCTCACGAGAGTTCATTCGAGGCTTGGCAGTCAGACATATTTCACAAAAATCTCTGCCATTACCAGCACCATTAACAAACGCTTTCTTAAAACCAACATTTATTTTCGTCACGAGAAAAAGACAACGGATATCACTTGAAGGTTTAATACGGATTATGTTCAATGGCTCGTCTAATTCATCAGTATTCCTGCACAGGGTACGTTTTCATATTTCTCTTTCTTTCTGCCATAATGCACACGGTGTCCCCCGTGACCCATTATTCTGTTCCCGAAGAAATGGAAGAAGGCTCAGTCGTTGCTAATTTAGCAATTGATCTCGGATTAGACGTGAAGACTCTGAATAATAGGAAAATGCGCGTAGATCTCGTAGGAAATAAAAAGTATATCGACATCAACAAAGACACAGGAGAGCTGTTCATGCAGGAAAGGATCGACAGAGAGCTTTTATGCCCATTAAAGACAACTACAACGTGCTTTCTCAGATTAGACGCTACGATTGAAAACCCGATACGAATGTTTAACATTGAGGTGGAAATCACGGACATTAACGACAACGCTCCTCATTTCCGACGGGGAACGATGCATTTGGACATATCTGAATCAAGCCCTGTTGGAGAGAGATTCTCATTGAACAATGCTGCAGATCCGGATGTTGGAACAAATTCTGTGAACAATTACCATCTGAGCTCAAGTGAACATTTCTCAATCGAAATTCAGACCGGGAGAGACGGGACAAAGTTTGCGGATTTGATTTTGAAAAAAGCATTAGATAGAGAGCAGCAGGCTGTGCATAATCTTATTCTCACTGCTGTGGACGGTGGAGTGCCCACGCGCACAGGTACAGCCAGCATCATTGTTCGCGTGCTTGATGTGAACGACAACGCCCCGTCATTTGATAAAGACAAATACATCATAGATGTGATGGAGAATTCCCCCATTGGCAGTCTAGTAATACAATTAAACGCTACTGATTTAGACGAAGGGTCAAATTCTGATATTATTTATTCATATAGTTTATATACATCAGAGAGAACACAAGAGGTGTTTAACTTAAATCCAGAAAATGGTGAAATCAGAGTGAAAGAGATGATAAATTATGAAGATTTTAAACTTTATGACATGGAAGTTATTGCCAGTGATAAGGGGCCTAACTCCTTAACTGGACAGAGTACACTGACAATACAGGTGGCAGACATGAATGACAATCATCCAGAAATATCCATCAAGTCTTTTCAAAGTCCAATTAAAGAAAACATAGAATTAGACACAGTGATAGCAGTGGTGAGTGTCAGTGATAAAGACTCAGGGGACAATGGAGTGGTTGATCTTCACATTCCTGATAACATGCCTTTCAAACTGAGGGAGTCCTCTGATAACTATTATGAATTAGTGGTGTCAGAGCCGTTAGACCGTGAGAGGGTCCCTGAATATGACATCACTTTCACTGTGACAGACAGAGGCTCTCCTCCTTTGTCTGACAATGAGACCATGACCTTAGAGCTGCTGGATGTTAATGACAATGTGCCAAAGTTCCCTCAGTCATTTTATACTATACGTGTGGAGGAGAATAATGCTCCTGGAGCCCTGCTCAGTTCCCCAACTGCGTTTGACCCTGACCTCCATGAAAACCAGTATCTAGTTTATTTCATCCTAGAGAGGGAGATAGCCAACACCTCCATGTCCATGCTGTTTTCCATCAACCCAGAGAACGGGAATCTTTACGCACTAAAAACTTTTGACTATGAGATCGAGAAGGAGTTTCTCTTCCACATCGAGGCCAGAGACTCTGGCTCTCCTCCTCTCAGCAGTAATGTGACGGTGCACATCATCATTGTGGACCAGAACGACAACGCTCCGGTTATTGTGTCTCCGTGGCGCGCACACGGCTCGGTGGTGGAGGAAAAGATCCCCAGATCCACCGATAAAGGCTCTCTGGTTTCTAAAGTGATAGCCTTGGACACAGACTCGGTGCACAACTCCCGGATCACCTACCAGTTCCTGCAGGTCACTGACGCCACCTTGTTCAGTCTGGACCAATACAACGGAGAGATCCGGACCATGAGGATGTTCAGCTACAGAGACCCGCGCCACCAGAGACTGGTTGTCGTTGCCAAGGACAACGGGCAGCCTGCCCTCTCTGCTACAGTCACCATCAAGCTGTCCACAGTGGAGACTGCCGTGAAGACCTACTCTGACATGACCGAGGTTCCTCTGGAATATGACATCTTCTCAGACCTCAACCTGTACCTGGTCATCGGTCTGGGCTCCGTGTCATTTCTCCTGCTGATCACCATACTGGTCACCATCGTGATCAAGTGTCAGAAACCCAAGCCCAGCAAAGCGGCTCCTCCCTGCAGGAACAGTGTGATCAGTGAGGGGAACTCCACCATCGCAGACTCCACTCTGGTCTCCAACGACGCCTACTGGTACAGTATGTTTCTAGCAGAGACCAGGAAAGGAAAGATGGTGGTCAGACAGCCTGTGCCAAAGGGCTCCAGATACATCGTGTCCAGTTTACCACGAGGCACTGGACTCACAGACACTAGTGGATCAGCAGCCTCCACTCTGCAGGTATGGTAAACACACCTATTCAACATCTGTTACACATGTTTTCTACTGAACATCCTGCAAGGCTAATAATAAGTGACGATTGCAGTATTTTTAAATCAGCGCTGAATACTTTTTGTTGTCTCTTCACTTTCTTGAAGTTACAACGCCTAAAATGTACTTGACATTACAATCAAAAATGTAATTGTGCCCATGTTAAGTCTTTTGACCTGCTGGCATAACCTTCGCTCCCCCAATTTGCATGGAGAAAGGAAAAGGTCACAAAAGGTCAAATCTAGAGCAACACTTGTATAGAACAACTTTATTGTGAGACCAACACGTTCTGGCTTGTGACCCTCATCAGGGTCAGTAGCTCGTTTCTACCGAAACCTTTTTTAAGTTTTATGAGGTCCAATAAGCAATTTGATAAATCGTGAATACCCTCCGCTTCTAAAAAGGTTTTTCCCTAATACCCTCTAAACTAATCTGTTGAGTGTTGTGAGGGCATTTAGTGAACCAGATATCATTTGTAATGCTTTAGGCCTACACACAAACACACAATGCTTTCTGATACCCCATATCAGCAGTCATAAAACATGTGAATTAGGATGAATTACAAGTGTCATATTGATGCTCCGGACTAGTTATAAACTACAGGTTCACTTAGGGGGCTTAGAATACATGCTGACTACCTAAACACACATCAACCATCAAGACTAATAAGCACTCAAAGGTATGATAATTCATGCAGTGTCATCGTTTTATATGTTTACGTAAAGTGTAATGCATTTAAAATAATCAATGCTGTATCATAAGTGATAATAAGCAAGAACACTAAAATGCAGGGAATCTTATAGCACCAATCGCGGCTGAAGTGCATCTGAAGGTCAACTTGCTCTGTTTAAAATCATGGTAATATTAATTTAAAAAATAAAACTCTTGTCAAGTGAGTGAGTGAGTGAGTGAGTGAGTGAGTGAGTGAGTGAGTGAGTGAGTGAGTGAGTGAGTGAGTGAGTGAGTGAGTGAGTGAGTGAGAGAGAGAGAGTGAGGGGCTGTAATGTGTCAGCTATTAAAGTTATGTCATTCAATTTTTGACGATTAGTAAAAACACAGAAACTTACTTATTTTCATCCTGTAGTGTAAATTAAACTTGACAAAATGTATTTTGTCTTTTTCTTGTCTAATATATCAAACATGTTATACCTCAAGGTTCAATTCCCAAAGCATGTTCATTTTCTGTGTGATTCTCTGCATTTTGGTGTCTTAAATTATAAAGATGCATGCAGCCAGTGGTGGAATGTAACTAATTACATTTACTCAAGTATACTTAAGTTTAAGTCACTTGTACTTTACTTGAGTATTTTCATTTTATGCTATTTTATACTTTTAGTCCAGCACATGTTGTAAGCAAATGTTGTACTCCACTACATTTAGTTTACAGATTTAGTGACTAGTTACAGTACTTTGCTGATTGAGATGATAAAATATAAATCGACTTATTTATCATATACGATTATAGCGTAAGCCAGTAGTATTAACAGTATTTCAAATAAACCCGACCTGTACCGTAGTGAACACATTAATGCATCAATAAATATAATACAACCATTTAAAATAAATAGTGCTTAAACAACTCATTCTGCATAATGAACACTTTTACTTTTGGTTTCTACATTTTATTTTGATGCTAATACTTTTGTACTTTTACACAAGTACAATTTTAAATGCAGGACTCTAATTAATACGTTTTTTGTTTTTGTGCAGTGTACTATTGCTACATTTACTTTAGTAAATAATGTGATACTTCTTCCACCTCTGCATGCAGTATGGATTCTTCTAAATGATCTTTATAGACAGTGTTATTTTATTTGACAATGTCAGCCTGGATATCTCTGCATACATTAAGTATTTGGAAGACACATTAAAGTACATGTGGGGTACACAGATATTGTATTAAATAAAAGCAACTGTCATTAGCAATAATTGTAAACACATTTGACGAAAAACAAAAAGCAACACATTTATTGAGTTATCCAAGTATAGAATAAACAAAAACTTGAAGTAGTTGTTTCTTTAGAAGCACATCTCTCACCCAGGGAATACAACTTTCAGAACTCAAAAGTGAATACTTCATAACTTTTGCAGCTTCTTCAACTCTAATTATTTTTCCACTGTAACTTCTCCTACATTTAAAGCAAGGTAAAATGTTTGTTTTTTGAAAAGTTACAAAGGCTCACACAAGACTATTTTTGTCGCTGCTCTCCACAAAAACAAACTCGCTGATGAGGGCATGGTTTTCACGATAGTTTATTGGAGGAGGGACACTTTATAACAAGGACGTCACTCGAGGCAGGGAAACATTTTTTAAGAACGTCGTTTCGTTTTTTCGTTCAACGAGAGGGCGGTTTATTTAGGTCTCAGAGTATTTCAAATGAATAACTACGGAATCTGAAATATGGCGGATCAAATCCCACAGTTATTTGGGACGAGGTACGTGTGTGTATTTCTCTTTCTTTCTGGCATGATTGACACGGTGTCTACCGTCACACATTATTCTGTTCCCGAAGAAATGGAAGAAGGCTCAGTCGTTGCTAATTTAGCAACTGATCTTGGATTAGACGTGAAGACGCTAAAGGGAAGGAAAATGCGCGTAGACGTAGTAGGAAATAAAAAGTATATCGACATCAACAAAGACACAGGAGAGCTGTTCATCCTGGAAAGGATCGACAGAGAGCTTTTATGCCCCTTGAAGACATCTACATCATGCTTTCTTAAATTGGATGCTACGATTGAAAACCCGATACGAATGTTTAACATTGAGGTGGAAATCACGGACATTAACGACAACGCTCCTCATTTCCGACGGGGAACGATGCATTTGGACATATCTGAATCAAGCCCTGTTGGAGAGAGATTCTCATTGAACAATGCTGCAGACCCGGATGTTGGAACAAATTCTGTGAACAATTACCATCTCAGCTCAAGTGAACATTTTGCACTGGAAATTCAGACCGGGAGAGACGGGTCAAAGTTTGCGGATTTGATTTTGAAAAAAGCATTAGATAGGGAGCAGCAGGCTGTGCATAATCTTATTCTCACTGCTGTGGACGGTGGAGTGCCCACGCGCACAGGTACAGCCAGCATCATTGTTCGCGTGCTTGATGTGAACGACAACGCCCCGTCATTTGATAAAGACAAATACATCATAGATGTGATGGAAAACTCCCCCATTGGCAGTCTAGTAATACAATTAAACGCTACTGATTTAGACGAGGGGTCAAATTCTGATATCATTTATTCATATAGTTTATATACATCAGAGAGAACACAACAGGTGTTTAACTTAAATCCAGAAAATGGTGAAATCAGAGTGAAAGAGATGATAAATTACGAAGATTTTAAACTTTATGAAATGGAAGTTATTGCCAGTGATAAGGGGCCTAACTCCTTAACTGGACAGTGTAAACTGACAATACAGGTGGCAGACATGAATGACAATCATCCAGAAATATCCATCAAGTCTTTTCAAAGTCCAATTAAAGAAAACATAGAATTAGACACAGTGATAGCAGTGGTGAGTGTCAGTGATAAAGACTCGGGGGACAATGGAGTGGTTGATCTTCACATTCCTGATAACATGCCTTTCAAACTGAGGGAGTCCTCTGATAACTATTATGAATTAGTGGTGTCAGAGCCGTTAGACCGTGAGAGGGTCCCTGAATATGACATCACTTTCACTGTGACAGACAGAGGCTCTCCTCCTTTGTCTGACAATGAAACCATGACCTTAGAGCTGCTGGATGTTAATGACAATGTGCCACAGTTCCCTCAGTCATTTTATACTATACGTGTGGAGGAGAATAACGCTCCTGGAGCCCTGCTCAGTTCCCCAACTGCGTTTGACCCTGACCTCCATGAAAACCAGTATCTAGTTTATTTCATCCTAGAGAGGGAGATAGCCAACACCTCCATGTCCATGCTGTTCTCCATCAACCCAGAGAACGGGAATCTTTACGCACTAAAAACTTTTGACTATGAGATCGAGAAGGAGTTTCTCTTCCACATCGAGGCCAGAGACTCTGGCTCTCCTCCTCTCAGCAGTAACGTGACGGTGCACATCATCATTGTGGACCAGAACGACAACGCTCCGGTTATTGTGTCTCCGTGGCGCGCACACGGCTCGGTGGTGGAGGAAAAGATCCCCAGATCTACCGATAAAGGCTCTTTGGTTTCTAAAGTGATAGCCTTGGACACAGACTCGGTGCACAACTCCCGGATCACCTACCAGTTCCTGCAGGTGACTGACGCCACCTTGTTCAGTCTGGACCAATACAACGGAGAGATCCGGACCATGAGGATGTTCAGCTACAGAGACCCGCGCCACCAGAGACTGGTTGTTGTTGCCAAGGACAACGGGCAGCCTGCCCTCTCTGCTACAGTCACCATCAAGCTGTCCACAGTGGAGACTGCCGTGAAGGCCTACTCTGACATGACCGAGGTGCCTCTAGAATATGACATCTTCTCAGACCTCAACCTGTACCTGGTCATCGGTCTGGGCTCCGTGTCATTTCTCCTGCTGATCACCATACTGGTCACCATCGTGATCAAGTGTCAGAAACCCAAGCCCAGCAAAGCGGCTCCTCCATGCAGGAACAGTGTGATCAGTGAGGGGAACTCCACCATCGCAGACTCCACTCTGGTCTCCAACGACGCCTACTGGTACAGTATGTTTCTAGCAGAGACCAGGAAAGGAAAGATGGTGGTCAGACAGCCTGTGCCCAAGGGCTCCAGATACATCGTGTCCAGTTTACCACGAGGCACTGGACTCACAGACACTAGTGGATCAGCAGCCTCCACTCTGCAGGTATGGTAAACAAACACACCTATTCAACATCTGTTACACATGTTTTCTACTGAACATCCTGCAAGGCCAATAATAATTGACGATTGCCGTATTTTTAAATCAGCGCTGAATACTTTTTGTTTTCTCTTCACTTTCTTTAAGTTACAACGCCTAAAATGTACTTGACATTACAATCAAAAATGTAATTGTGCCCATGTTAAGTCTTTTGACCTGCTGGCATAACCTTCGCTCCCCCAATTTGCATGGAGAAAGGAAAAGGTCACAAAAGGTCAAATCTAGAGCAACACTTGTAAAGAACAACTTTACTGTGAGACCAACAAGTTATGGCTTGTGACCCTCATCAGGGTCAGTAGCTCGTTTCTACCGAAACCTTTATACAGTTGTATTAGGTCTAATAAGCAATTTGATAAATCGTGAATACCCTCCGCTTCTAAAAAGGTTTTTCCCTAATACCCTCTAAACTAATTTGTTGAGTGTTGTGAGGGCATTTAGTGAACCAGATATCATTTGTAATGCTTTAGGCCTACACACAAACACACAATGCTTTCTGATACCCCATATCAGCAGTCATAAAACATGTGAATTAGGATGAATTACAAGTGTCATATTGATGCTCCGGACTAGTTATAAACTACAGGTTCACTTAGGGGGCTTAGAATACATGCTGACTACCTAAACACACATCAACCATCAAGACTAATAAGCACTCAAAGGTATGATAATTCATGCAGTGTCATCATTTTATATGTTTACGTAAAGTGTAATGCATTTAAAATAATCAATGCTGTATCATAAGTGATAATAAGCAAGAACACTAAAATGCAGGGAATCTTATAGCACCAATCGCGGCTGAAGTGCATCTGAAGGTCAACTTGCTCTGTTTAAAATCATGATAATAGTAATTTAAAAAATAAAACTCTTGTCAAGTGAGAGAGTGAGTAAAAGAGTGAGTGAGTGAGTGAGTGAGTGAGAGAGAGAGAGTGAGGAGCTGTAATGTGTCAGCTATTAAAGTTATGTCATTCAGTTTTTGACGATTAGTAACAACACAGAAACTTACTTATTTTCATCCTGTAGTGTAAATTAAACTTGACAAAATGTATTTTGTTTTTTACTTGTCTAATATATCAAACATGTTATACCTCAAGGTTCAATTCCCAAAGCATGTTCATTTTTTGTGTGATTCTCTGCATTTTGGTGTCTTAAATTATAAAGATGCATGCAGCCAGTGGTGGAATGTAACTAATTACATTTACTCAAGTATACTTAAGTTTAAGTTACTTGTACTTTACTTGAGTATTTTCATTTTATGCTACTTTATACTTTTAGTCCAGTACATGTTCTAAGCAAATATTGTACTTTTTACTCCACTACATTTAGTTTACAGATTTAGTTACTAGTTACTTTGCTGAATGAGATGTATACATTATCATATACGATTATAGCTAGAGCTACCCAGTATATACAGTATTTCAAATAAACCCCACCTGTACCGTAGTGAACACATTAATGCATCAATAAATATAATACAACAATTTAAATATAAATAGTGCTTAAATAAGTCATTCTGCATAATGAACACTTTTACTTTTGGTATCTAAAGTTTATTTTGATGCAAATACTTTTGTACTTTTAAACACAATTTTAAATGCAGGACTTTAACTAATAAGTGTTTGTTTTTTTGCAGTGTACTATAGCTACGTTTACTTTAGTACATAATCTGATACTTCTTCCACCTCTGCATGCAGTATGGATTCTTCTAAATGATCTTTATAGACACATTAAGGTAGGCCTACATGTGGGGCACACAGATATTGTATTACAAAAAAGCAACTGTCATTAGCTATAATTGTAAACACATTTGATGAAAAACAAAAAGCAACACATTTATTGAGTTATCCAAGTAGAGAATAAACAACAACTTGAAGTAGTTGTTTCTTTTTTAGAAGCACATCTCTCACCCAGGGAATACAACTTTCAGAACTCAAAGTGAATACTTCATAACTTTTGCAGCTTCTTGAACTGTAATTATTTTTCCACTGTAACTTCTCCTACATTTAACGCAAGGTAAAATGTTTGTCTTTTAAAAAGTTACAAAGGCTCACACAAGACTATTTTCGTCGCTGCTCTCCACAAAAACAAACTCGCTGATGAGGTCATGGTTTTCACGATAGTTTATTGGAGGAGGGACACTTTATAACAAGGACGTAAAGGTAGGGGCGTAACAAAACGTTTTTTAAGAACGTCGTTTCGTTTTTTCGTTCAACGAGAGGGCGGTTTATTTAGGTCTCAGAGTATTTCAAATTAATAACTACGGAATCTGAAATATGGTGGATCAAATCCCACAGTTATTTGGGACGAGGTACGTGTGTGTATTTCTCTTTCTTTCTGCCATGATTGACACGGTGTCTACCGTCACACATTATTCTGTTCCCGAAGAAATGGAAGAAGGCTCTGTCGTTGCTAATTTAGCAACTGATCTGGGATTACATGTGAAGACGCTAAAGGGAAGGAAAATGCGCGTAGACGTAGTAGGAAATAAAAAGTATATCGATATCAACAAAGACACAGGAGAGCTGTTCATCGTGGAAAGGATCGACAGAGAGCTTTTATGCCCGTTAAAAACAACAACATACTGTGTTCTTAAATTGGATGCTACGATTGAAAACCCGATACGAATGTTTAACATTGAGGTGGAAATCACGGACATTAACGACAACGCTCCTCATTTCCGACGGGGAACGATGCATTTGGACATATCTGAATCAAGCCCTGTTGGAGAGAGATTCTCATTGAACAATGCTGCAGACCCGGATGTTGGAACAAATTCTGTGAACAATTACCATCTCAGCTCAAGTGAACATTTTGCACTAGAAATTCAGACCGGGAGAGACGGGTCAAAGTTTGCGGATTTGATTTTGAAAAAAGCATTAGATAGGGAGCAGCAGGCTGTGCATAATCTTATTCTCACTGCTGTGGACGGTGGAGTGCCCACGCGCACAGGTACAGCCAGCATCATTGTTCGTGTGCTTGATGTGAACGACAACGCCCCGTCATTTGATAAAGACAAATACATCATAGATGTGATGGAAAACTCCCCCATTGGCAGTCTAGTAATACAATTAAACGCTACTGATTTAGACGAAGGGTCAAATTCTGATATTATTTATTCATATAGTTTATATACATCAGAGAGAACACAACAGGTGTTTAACTTAAATCCAGAAAATGGTGAAATCAGAGTGAAAGAGATGATAAATTACGAAGATTTTAAACTTTATGAAATGGAAGTTATTGTCAGTGATAAGGGGCCTAACTCCTTAACTGGACAGTGTAAACTGACAATACAGGTGGCAGACATGAATGACAATCATCCAGAAATATCCATCAAGTCTTTTCAAAGTCCAATTAAAGAAAACATAGAATTAGACACAGTGATAGCAGTGGTGAGTGTCAGTGATAAAGACTCAGGGGACAATGGAGTGGTTGATCTTCACATTCCTGATAACATGCCTTTCAAACTGAGGGAGTCCTCTGATAACTATTATGAATTAGTGGTGTCAGAGCCGTTAGACCGTGAGAGGGTCCCTGAATATGACATCACTTTCACTGTGACAGACAGAGGCTCTCCTCCTTTGTCTGACAATGAGACCATGACGTTAGAGCTGCTGGATGTTAATGACAATGTGCCACAGTTCCCTAAGTCATTCTATACTATACGTGTGGAGGAGAATAACGCTCCTGGAGCCCTGCTCAGTTCCCCAACTGCGTTTGACCCTGACCTCCATGAAAACCAGTATCTAGTTTATTTCATCCTAGAGAGGGAGATAGCCAACACCTCCATGTCCATGCTGTTCTCCATCAACCCAGAGAACGGGAATCTTTACGCACTAAAAACTTTTGACTTTGAGATTGAGAAGGAGTTTCTCTTCCACATCGAGGCCAGAGACTCTGGCTCTCCTCCTCTCAGCAGTAATGTGACGGTGCACATCATCATTGTGGACCAGAACGACAACGCTCCGGTTATTGTCTCTCCATGGCGCGCACACGGCTCGGTGGTGGAGGAAAAGATCCCCAGATCCACCGATAAAGGCTCTCTGGTTTCTAAAGTGATAGCCTTGGACACAGACTCGGTGCACAACTCCCGGATCACCTACCAGTTCCTGCAGGTGACTGACGCCACCTTGTTCAGTCTGGACCAATACAACGGAGAGATCCGGACCATGAGGATGTTCAGCTACAGAGACCCGCGCCACCAGAGACTGGTTGTTGTTGCCAAGGACAACGGGCAGCCTGCCCTCTCTGCTACAGTCACCATCAAGCTGTCCACAGTGGAGACTGCCGTGAAGGCCTACTCTGACATGACCGAGGTGCCTCTGGAATATGACATCTTCTCAGACCTCAACCTGTACCTGGTCATCGGTCTGGGCTCCGTGTCATTTCTCCTGCTGATCACCATACTGGTCACCATCGTGATCAAGTGTCAGAAACCCAAGCCCAGCAAAGCGGCTCCTCCCTGCAGGAACAGTGTGATCAGTGAGGGGAACTCCACCATCGCAGACTCCACTCTGGTCTCCAACGACGCCTACTGGTATAGTATGTTTCTAGCAGAGACCAGAAAAGGAAAGATGGTGGTCAGACAGCCTGTGCCAAAGGGCTCCAGATACATCGTGTCTAGTTTACCACGAGGCACTGGACTCACAGACACTAGTGGATCAGCAGCCTCCACTCTGCAGGTACAGATAACCGCTCACTTTAACATAACTAAATCCTTCAAATATTGGCCTTCCTTTAACAAAGGATATCTGTTTGCAGTATGGAACCATGTTGTGCTCTTCTTCTCTTGTAGTCTGTGTTTTGCAAGTCATACTTTTTGGCTTGAGTGTTTCTTTGTGCGATAACTCTTCACACTTGCTCTTCATTTATTACTGTAACAACAAAGTTCCACAGCACTAAATCCCTCTGATATTCTGTATCTAAAACTGTAAATATTCTCTAAAGTTTCATTTTCATAATTTAACATGTATCTACTACAATGTAACCTAACAAAGGTAATCTCCCAATGTCACCTACAACATTCCTCAAGGGGAAAAGCCTTTCCACTGAAATAAACTCCACTGAAATAAAAAACAAATAAAACCTTAATGGCAACAAACCTGAAGAAACAATTGAACATGGGTACACCTCTGCTTTTTTAAATATCCTGCAGCTTTTTTAACTTAAAGTGTTGCTTGCGTTGTTCATTTGTAATAGCTCCAGAGACATATCTGGTTGACTTGTACTTGTGGTGAATATATCAGTGTAATGGTTTTGTAATCACTATTTTGTTCACTGCAAATGAAAATACAATCAATATAAATCAGAACCGAGATTTTATTCACAAAGAGCTTGTATACCACTTTACAAATGAGGATCTTGTGAGTAAGGCTTCTTTCAATTTATGAAAACACGTGTTTTCTGTTGTTTTAACAAATAATATCCAACATAATGCACAAAACAGTCTTCTCTGTTTTGAACAATGACCCATTTTTTGTGCTCAAACCATTTTCCCCCCAGCATCAATGTAATTTTAACTATTCAGTGTTATACCATATCTATCTATCTATCTATCTATCTATCTATCTATCTATCTATCTATCTATCTATCTATCTATCTATCTATCTATCTATCTATCTATCTATCTATCTATCTATCTATCTATCTATCTATCTATCTATCTATCTATCTATCTATCTATCTATCTATATATCTATATATCTATCTATATATGATGGTAAGTATGCTGCTGTTATAGCTACATTTGAAACAGTTTAACCTACTTTTATAGAACGCATTGTAACAACTGCAGACTCAGTTATTAAGTATCACACTAACCATTACTAACACTAACTAATCTGTGGTACTTTTCCAAACATGACTTAACATTCTTATTCATAGTTATTTGACACCAACCCTGTCATCACAGGATACATACACACCAGTAATCATTTCTTGTGTTTGCAATGACCTGACCATTGAACTGCTTGTTTTTTTTCTCCTCACTCTAAAGTACCCTAAATGAAGAAAGTCCACTCAGCAGCTGGAGGTATGCAGGAGTCTCACTCCCCACACTGGATGCCCTTTAATGAATCATGTTACAGAACATATGGGTTTGATTGTTTTGTGAATGTGTTTATTTGTTTGTCCTCAGTAGTTATTTTTAAAATGATTTTGTCTTCTTTAGTTTGGATGACATTTTTTTTTAATTGCAAAGGAGCAAGTTGACATCACATGCTGCTTGTCAAATCTCTGGTGTTAACCTCATTCTGCCAACAATGTGGTTACTGATATTTATATTACAGTTTCATCACCAAAGCCATCTAACATGTATCCATGCAATTTAAGTACACTCATAATAATCTATAATCTTAATGTATTTATAAAGAGTCTTACACTGAGACTGTGGTCAGTATTTCTGTCTTAGTTATTACTTTTGTGAACAGAGTAAGAGTCAACTAGTCAGTCACACATTGATTTAGATTTTTAATACAAAATGACAACATCACCATGCTGCTCTGTCTGAAGGTCATTGATCACGGTTCTAGAGAATCCATTACTTCAACTAGCAATAACACCATTTACTGGCTTTTGCTTTTTTCCCCACAATCTGGCTTCTGCTTAGAAAATATCAATGTCTTAAATTGGTCCTGTGCATGTGAAGAATAATTTGTATTCAACCCCTACTGACCCATCACTGATAGATTATTATATTATAATTCCTATTTGTGTTTATTGGTGGGATTGTGCTGTGCTGTATAGCTGTGTGATTTGGTTGGTAATACTATATTTTGAGTGTTACTGACTTCACAGAATGACACTTTGATTTTCTGTCTGCTGTAGCGTGAATTGTGACCTACTTCTTTATGCAGGAGAGGCGCAAAGTGAAACCAGTCACCCAGTTACCTAGCAACCACTCTCCTTCACATAATTTTGGAGCATGGTATTCATAGACCACCTCAACCTACACTCTGTCTCCTGCCTGAAGCCCCTGTCTGAGTGACAGACATCTGCTGCATGTGATGTTTCTGTTAGTGCTGTGTTTTGTTTCCAGATGTATCTAATTCTCTTTTCTTGTTTTCCAGGCATCCACCAGCAGCACATAAGGCCACACCCTCAGCTGCGTATTGGAGTAACGCTGACAGGAAAGGAGAAACCCCCAGTCTGTTATGACCCCCCACATCCATCCTGCCCACTCTTATCCTTGTTCCTCACAATATGTAGCCGTCATGCCATAACACCAAATGGACTATGGTGGCTAAAAGGAAACAGCCCTCCCCCTCTCTTTTTTCAAGCACATGAAAAGCCTATCAACATTGCCTCTCTGTCCATTCAATACGCATGATTAGACTGCATGGCTTCAACCACACTCTGAGACCCCTCATACAAACAATTTTCATTTGGAAACACTTGCAAAGAAGTAGACTGTATGAAAGATTACAACAGTGGACATCTAAAGAAGCCTCAACAAGGACTGCGTGGACATGGGAATGTTGAAATGCCTTTATTAAGAGACTGTTTCCCCTCTCTAAAATGAAACACATGTTGGATATTACAATATTAACCTCTGTGCTTTGTCTTGATTCTTAACAGTATTGATGTATAATATACAAGTTAACTAAAAAGTGAAACAGCACAACCAACTATACAAAAAAAGCACCAATATTTAAAAGTATGAAAAGAAAGTGGATCAGTATTTTATAGATGTGGTAGCTTTCAACAGTTTTATGTTTTGTACATTACTTTGTGCTGTATATGAGAGCTAAGCCTGAATATATGAATGATATTGCTGAGAGAAAGTTAACCTGTACATTAAACAGATGAACATGAGTCCTTTAGCCATCATGTATCTGCCTTTCAGTTTTTTTTGCATGGGATGATCAAAATATGGATTATAAGAAATTGAGCAATCACTTTCTTTAGTTAGGCCGAACAGTTTAGTATTTTTTTCAAAACAATATGGAAGATTACATTTCATCAAGAAGATAATGAAGAAGTAAAACAGCATAATAATTGGATGTATTCCGATAATTAAGTGTACTCAGCTTAAACTTAAGTATACATGGTGCTTGAATGTTATGTTCACTTGGACGCAAGCGAAACATAAGAGCCTAGATGACTGTGAAGACCGTGAGTCTTCAAGAATGGTTTTAATATCTTCTCATAACTACTGTAAATACAACACAAACATGGCCATGATTTCATTTTTTTATTTTAAAAGCCAAACTGTGTGGATGTTCCTGTATTTCAACCTTTTGAGATTGTGTATCAAGTAAAACAACTCACTAAATGACTCAATGTTTACTTTACAATGCTGAAATACTGAATGTGAAGCTGTGCTGATGTGTATTACTATGACTATACTTTCTCTATTTAGATATGTCATAAGCCTGTATCTATAAAAATGTAATTATTTTCAATTACCAATGCTGAACTTTTGTAAAGATAAACAGTGGAATTCCTGTGCCATCAGATGTAACTGTATGCAAATCATTCACCTGATCAGTTATTACGTAGTCCCATTGTTTAGCACAGCTCACATTGCATTGTATAAAGTTGTTTTGTTGAACAGGCAAACATATACAATAAGTGCTTTTGTACAGTGGACTGTTATGGTGCATTATGTCGTCATGTGTGTAATGTGAGCTTATTGTATGCTATGGTCTGTATGATCTATTAAATATAAAAACGAAATACTAAAACAATCATAATAGTAAACTTCTGAATCTCTTGAGTGTCATCTTGAGTTCTGAAAATGAATAGCATTCATTTAGGACTATTGCACTGTTTGAAAATGAGTTTTAATTATAGTTTACAAAGCATATCAAGCTTGAGTGAATCTTCTATAAACTAGATCTGTGATGATGATTTCTTAATTATAATGCCCCACTTGTATCAGCTAGTTAACTAACTGGCTTATGTGTCACTACTTGACATGTATTTGAGTTTAAACAACTAATATAAGTGATTTATAAAACAAGTCACAAGCACGTGTTTGAACAGAACCACATAAGTCTGAATCACATCATGGGACAGTCATTTTTCTTTTAAATGCATACATTTACATTCAATTGGAGATTTATTGATTTTGCTTTAGTTTGAGGGGCTTGTTTCCTGTCCGGCAGTGCATGCATAGCTAAACATTTGTTATAATGATTATAAATACATAGTTGTATAGGCCTTTTTTTAATGCATCCATGTTTTTTTCTTTTACATATTGAGAATAACTAAGTTTTTCAGATCAGAGGGCTCTAGTTCATTTATTTATTTATTCAAATACACAATATGTGTAAAACAAAACAAGAGGGACAGGCAATTAAAAAAGGACTTGAAAACACCTCTCTAATGTATGATGTCGGTGGAAACTGGCTCCAGCTGTGTGCTCGTTCTGGACTGTCTTCCCTGATCCAAGTCAGCACTACCATCATCTGTGAGGACGTCATGACCATCTTTAACCTGCAAGGAAACACAATGTTAAAATACCTTTATATGAAAAAGAGGCAACCACATTATGTCTTAAATTAATTGCTTAATACAGTCTTATAAAATGTTGCTAAATGTCCCAAGCTGACTGAAGGGTGTATGGTGAGCGTATATACTTTATTCAAATGTGATAAAAAAACAACTCAGTGTTTTGTTTAATTGTTAATAAGGTTTGTAGAGAACTTGCATGATTTGTTTTTCTATGATGATTGACCAATGAGTGTGTCTGTCTCTGTGTGAACACATGAGCTCATCTCTCTGGGGAGATGAGCTCATCACACAGAAACCTTCAAGTTTCAGCAGCAATTTGTATCACTTAACGAACGATCATTTGTGTTATGTCTTCTAAATAAGGCAACAATCATGTTTTTAAAAAAAAATATGGATCTTAGTTTAGATGCTATTATGTTTTATTGGAGCAAAGTGAAATAAGAAAAAATGTGAGATCAACAAATTGTTTTGTGCCCTTTTCTTTTCACCACTTGACTCTCAGAGAAAAATCTCACACTGGCTGTCTGATGCTCTGCTGCACTGGCAGACTAGCACCAGCACACTGACAATGCACCTTGTGTAACAAAGCACTAGAAGAGCCACCAGCTGCCACTAGTAGGCTAACCCATGTGCACCTACATAAAACCTCAAAGTGCTCTGATTACTATATATCTAGAGTTTTATTTTCTCTGCATTATTTTTGTAATACAGGGCGATTTGAGGGGTTGGTATATGACATGGGCTGCATGTACTTTATTTCCTCATTGCATTCAATACAACATAATAATTAAGGTATTTGTAATATGACTGTGAAGAGGAATACAGGGTATATGGATGCAGCAGACTTTCTTTGTCTGCAGCATTCACAGCTCCTGCCTCCCTCCCCCTCTGCTTCCTTCCTCTGAGCAATGCTTGCTTTTAGCACCATGGACAGAGACCTGCATACTGGAGCTGCGTTGCCATGGCGACGTGCTGTCTTTTCGTTGGAGGTCACGCTGTGCTCTGAAGCTGCGTGTAATTTAATATTCGTACACAGTGCAGCAGCCGCAGCATGCAGACATCAGATCAGATGCCTATTATTTGGCAAATATCACTACTTCTGCCTGTAAAGGGCTGATAATAACAGTATTAGGTGGTTAAAACACAGACAATTGTAGCATAGATGCAGCTTGGGGGAAACGTAGAGGCAGAAATGTGACGAGGAGCTACACAATGCGGCAGCGCTCGTGCACGCGCACGTATATAGTTGGCCTAATTCCAGACCCAATACGTAACCATGCATGTGGGAGGGGTGCGGAGATCATCTTTATTACTTCTTGTTTTTTCTGCATAATATGGAAGAACCATAGAAAAGGGGTGAAAATTGATAAAAATGTATCCGAAAATAGTGTCTCATAATTCCCTGACAACTCCCCTTGAATTCCTGTGTCCTACCTGCAGTTAGTGTGAATGTCTTTTTCTATCATGATTTATTGTGCATAATTCCCCGGCACTCCTGCAGCATGGGGCTCACGGCACAATGTCACATGAACCACTGCAGACATACGAGTGGGCTCATCCCAACTGCATGTGCAGGTTTAATCCATGAGATGTCACTGCTCATCCCTTCAATAGTATAAGATTGTGGGAGTGTGCTGAGAAGACCTCACTGAGTTTAAACGAGAATATGAATGTCACATTAAACATTTGCTTTATTTTACGGATTCATCGTTTTATAAGAAGATATACTTTTCAATTGATTAATTACATTTATTATTATTATGATGATGATAATAATAATAATAATAATAATAATAATAATAATAATAATAATAATAGTAATAATAATAATAATAATAATAATAGTTGGTTTGAAATAGAGTTCACATTTTACTTACAACTTACAAGTAAGCAATATTTGTTAAAATGTCTACAGATAATGGAACCGGTCATTAGTTTCCTAAAAAATAATAGGATGGAATAGGAGCCCTCGCGCTTCCATTATAAATGGTGTTAAGATCCTCTGTAAGAAGACCTATGCTTTAACATACACAACAATATCAAAACAGGACATTTTCCACAACTGATGTGATTTTAAAGTTGACTCCTACTTCTCGCGTCTACTGCTTAAATTATGTGGGGAAGCATTTTAGCAAAAGCACACACAGGCTAAACTGGAAGAAAATGTATAACTGCAAGCGGCACAATCGTTAAGGTGACAACGGGTGGTGCTGTTACACTATAAATCACGACAGTGGCTGTGTGTGAGAGGTGCTGTTTTTTAAATGTGCATTCAGTATGAACCCGAAGAGACGGTTGAACGGCGGGTAAAACCTCCTTTATTTTAATGATGGTTACCGTAGACTGTTTCTGTTTAATATCCGTGAGAGAAAACTGAAAACCATGTCATAATAATTGCGTTAACAGAAGAGAACACAGATCGTTATAAAAAAGGCTTTTTCCGAAAATGGCGATAACGCAAATGAGAGGACAATGGCTGGATATGTGGATATCTTTTTGTTTGGCGCTGCTGCTTGTGACTTATTTGGGAGGAATCTCTGCTCAGATACGTTATTCCATCCAGGAAGAATTAAGAATAGGCACCGTGGTTGGACATGTGGCCAAAGACCTTGGATTAGATCTCGGAAGACTGACGGATAGGAATCTTCGGGTCGTGTCTGGAACAAAGCAGGATCTGTTTAAGGTAAATCCAAGGGATGGAGTTTTGTTGCTGAACCAAATAATAGACAGGGAGCAGCTTTGTGCAAAAACTGCTCCATGCATCGCAAATCTGAAAGCAATCGTAGAAAATCCACTCGAGATGCACCAGATAACAGTTGAAATACTCGATGTAAACGACAATTCACCCACATTTCCTGAAGAAAACTACACATTAGAGGTGCTCGAGTCCGCCATAGTTGGATCTAGATTTCAAATGGAGGGAGCACATGACTTGGATGTTGGTTTAAATTCCTTACAAACATATAAGCTTAACAATGACCAGTATTTTCGCCTGGAAACAGAGGAATTTGGAGAGGATGGAAAAGTTCCGTTCCTAATCTTACAGCGACCCTTGGATAGAGAACACGCCGCTCAACTCTGGTTACACTTAACAGCTAATGATGGAGGTAAACCATCTAAATCTGGTACTATTAATATCACTGTTAATGTGTCAGACATAAATGACAACCCGCCAGTGTGTGATAAACAGAAATACACTGTAACAATAAAGGAAAACGCACCTGCAGGAACATTTCTGCTGACAGTAAATGCATCTGACTCGGATGAGGGGATGAACGGTGAGGTCGAATACTCTTTACGAAGTAAACATAGAGGAGCATCATCTGAACCGTTTGATTTGAATAGAAAAACTGGCAAATTAACGGTGAAAGGTGGCCTTGATTATGAGGAAAAGCAAGTATATGAGATAAAGGTACTGGCTGCAGACAAAGGTGCCGTGTCTCTTTCCACACAGTGCAACGTGGTTGTCAGAGTGGAAGATGTAAACGATAATCAACCTGAAATAGAGATCACATCCCTTTCTAGTCAAATTCCAGAGGATGCACCTCCTGGCACGGTGGTGGCGCTGATGGGTGTGACGGACCTCGACTCAGGTGTGAACGGACAGGTGGTTTGCAGTGTGCCCGGCCATTTACCCTTTGACCTAAAGCCTTCTCCTGACGGACAGTCATACTCTTTGGTCACCAAGGACTACCTAGATAAGGAAACCATGCATATGTATTCTATAACGATAACAGCTAAGGATTTAGGAAGCCCCGCCCTGTCATCTACAAAGGTGATACACGTAGACGTCCTAGATATTAATGACAACAGTCCTTTCTTCATTGGAAGCCCATACACTTTTTATGTGCCTGAAAACAACAAAGTTGGAATGTCAATTTTTTCAGTTATCGCAACAGATGCCGATGGAGGCGAAAATGCAGAAGTCACATTTTCACTCAACCGTAACAGCGCAGGGCCCACTGTGACTGCATTTTTAAATATAAATCAAGCCAATGGCACAATTTCGGCGCTAAAAAGCTTTGACTTTGAGACTCTGAAAACGTTCCAGTTCCAAGTTGTCGCCACAGATTCTGGAACTCCGTCGCTAAGCAGCAACGTCACAGTGCACGTGTTCATTCTGGATCAGAACGACAACGCTCCAGTCATCCTGTATCCGGTCAGCTCTAACGGTTCTGCTGAAGGTGTGGAGGAGATTCCCCGCAATGTGAACGCAGGACACTTGGTGACTAAAGTCAGAGCCTATGA